CGTTGCATATGACACAAAGGCTTCTATAAATAAATGATATCGAATTCCAGCTTTGTAATTTTAGGGATTATTTACAAAATATATCGATACTATAACTAGTGAGAGAAATAATGCCCACACCAGAAAATCTCAATCTATTTCCAGAAAACTACTAATGCTGATTTTATTCATAGCCTCACTGCAACCTTTTTCTTTTTGTTGTCGCCATAACTCTATACCGTCTCGCAACGGACCAATCAAATCTTCACGCATGAGACGAAACTGTATATCGAGGTAATGTTCTTGACTTGAGTAACTTCCTTTGACGATATTTTTTCGAATATAAGGTTGAACTGCAAATATATATCATATTGCAAAATATGCTGAAGTATACTTTTCAAAATATATTAGCAAATACCACGTGACGATGCTGCAAAAATTCGCATGTTTAGGAATATGAATTCCTAATGGTCATGAATCCACTGAAATATGCTTACCTCTCTGCATATCATTAACAATACCACAATACCAATATATAAACAATTTAATGATAATGGCTTCATAAACACTGCACCTGGATGAAGTATATCACTACTAGTAGCGTAAACTGGCAATGTTCGAAAATCTTCTGGAGGTTCTACAACATCATCATTGATGCATGCTAACAAATAGTGTTTAGTTCTTTTTCTTTTTTCCTCAAAACATTTCATATCACTATCTGCCATATTTGATTCCCAGTCTTCATGCGAATCTACTGCTAAAGGCACAGCAGGGTCGATCTAGAAAAATTTTTCGACAATTACGACCATTACAATTGCAAAAACACGGAAAACAAAAACCGATTAGATAATAATAGAATAATGCCATGTCCAGTAAATGATCATTAAAAATAAAATATGAGCTAAAAAACAAACTACAAAACATACAACTAATTTTTGTAACATTTTGAAAACTGTCAACTTAAGCTTTTCATCGATAGCTGACCAACATTTTTCCGGAATTAACTCCATAAAATATAAAAATTCTTCACATGCAATATCCTAAAAAACTATATCTATATGAACAATGTTCCACGACTGTAAATAATTATTTGAAAAATAAATCAGTAGATACAGCAAAGTTTTTTTTTTTTTTTTTTGAATATGCAGCAAAGTTGCAGAAGCAACTCACGAAATCTTGAATGTGTTTAACTCTCGAAATGTATAATATCTGCATAACGTCTTGAAGGTGAATGAAGAGAGTTCTATAGCATTCAGCACTAGTAACACTACGCATGTGACATACATTACCACGAAGCATGAAAGAAATAAAACTGAAATATAGAATATGGTTAGATATCTTCATTTTTAAGTTAACTTTGGATGGACATACTCTAAGCGATGAAAACTAACTCTGAATTGATGATCGCCTCCAACAAATTAACCACTGAAGATTGAAGATCTGGAAGTTCTGTAAATGAAGCAGCTGAAAGAATGGCAAGCAGTTGGACATTCTGTTCTCTGTCAGTGAACGGAATACGTAACCTATTATGCAACAATGGACCATCGATGTATTTTATCTATAGTAAAAAAACATTAATCCTTTGTATCAGCAATCTGTTATAAAGGATAAATGAGTTATATTTCAAATTAGAGCAAAAATTTTTTTGCATTTTACTTTTTATCTAAAGCTTATTTGGCGCATAAAAACAATTCATGCTACCAAATCTAAGTCTTTCAGTGGTTTTTCCAGTTTTTGAAGATTCTCAAAAATGTTCTCAACATGAACAAAATCGAGTAATGGACAGTCTCGATTAACTACATGTTCTTCTTGATTCTCGCCACCTGAAATATGATTTTAAGCAATTTTTAACCATTTTTATGATTAAGTACTGGTTTTGCATACCACCTATTGACAAAACTATATACTGGAGTTATTTAACGCATTACATCAAACAATGCCTATCTCTTTTCCATTTAGCATTAGTAATATTTTGTAAGTATAATAGAAACCCAATAAAGAAAACAGACGTCTAATGAACAATTCTTCATTTGACAGTTTTTCAGTTGTTTCAATAACATTTGTTTTGATTGATTCTGCTTCTTTAGTATCTTCAGATCCAAATTCTACTTCCGAAGCTGAAGAAAAACTACGGTTCTATAGAACAAATACCCCGAAAATTAATTGGTGTCCAAATTTTTGAAAATGAAAACCTAGTGAAATGAAATGAAATGAAAAATTCCCAACAGAACAAATCAAAAATTTTCCACAACAAAATTAAAACAAGAACAGCTTACTTCTGCAAAACTTTTCACTTAGAAGTTCACAAATTTCTTTGACCCAACAGCCTATCATTTCTTCAGTTTTATTACGCGCACATAGAAGCAAACTTTCACTCGTTTGTATGTAAAGCAAGATCTTTTCACTCCAAATTTTTTGTATTTTTTCCTCCACTTCATTCGAGTCTGAAAATACATCATTCAGATAAACAAAAAGGTGGGAATAAAGAAATAATTAGAAATTTAAATTTTTGATGCTGAAAATTAAAAACCATTGAGACATAAACAGTGGAGCAGTAGCCATTTCTATGGAAGTTACAATGACAAATCATAACAGTTAAAAAAAGCCTACCACTATCATTGAACAATATTACAAGCATCTTATCTTCGTCCGATTCCAATTCATCGCACCATTCATCCACTTCTCTTTGTGCCATTACTACATTTTTTGTAAACAGAAATGATGGTGATCGCGCTAAATTTAATCCCAACTTAGAACTGCTTTCACGAAACACATTTGCGAATGAGCTAAAAATGACAATTTAAGAATCTTATTGTCGATTTTACTAAACATTTCACAATACTTTGTTACAAACTTTGTCTTCCGAAACTATTATTAAGCAAGGAAAAAATCTCACCTATAATTGTTTTAAGAATATCTATAACAATATACATTCCCAACATAATCTGATGTTATTTTTGTTAATCCTATATATTCCATTTCTCCATTTATCTTCATAATCAGTCTTGTTTATAATAATTATGTAAATAACACACCGCATCATTTCATATGTAATTTCTCCTTTGTTTTTATCACCAAAGATAATAATTCCCCACTCATATTCCATTGTTGACACCATATCTCCTGCAACATTTATTCCATTAGCCATAACCATTTTAAATTTGTTGAAAAAGTGTTCATAATGAATTAGCGGCCCAATGTTTCCTATCAATAATTCATGTGAAAATCAGTCAATTTCTGTTTGTGTTTGATTAAATTTGCTTCAAATATTATTAACCTTTGGAGGAATATTTAAATGCTATATGTTACATAGTCTAGTAAGTATTGTTTGATGGGAAGATATTTGAAAAGGAGCGCATTACATTTGCATTATCAAAAAAAGTGAGAGTACGAATTGAATGGTCAATCATTTACCTGCTTCTGTACTGAACATAATGTTGAGTAAAAATCATACATCTATTCTTGTTGGATAATAAATTGTTGAAATAAATCCAACTATTGTAAACATTATCATTTCTCTATTAATCTGTCATTATCAATCACTTTCATTTCATATTTTTACTCTAGAAACATTCATTGCTGAAGAAACAAATTTCAGATAGTACATATGATTTTAGAATAGAACGAATTTTTCTTTTTTTTTTTTTTCGATCGAATTCATTTCTCAATCAAAGTATATTCAATTACAAGAGCATATTATCGATGATTCTAAACGTGTAATCATTTCTCTTTTTTCTCCTTGAAAAATCTAATCAAATGTATTCTGCATTTAACTCAGTTCATTTGTTAGAAAAGAATTTCACTTTAGATAAAAAACATTTTAATAGTAATACTATAAAATGCATTAAATTTTTACCAGTGATTTCAGAAATATTTTGTTTACTGTTATATAATTTATATAAAAAGTGTTTGAATGTTTGAAGGTTATCGATTATCGACTAAAACAATTATCGAAATTATATGGAATGAAATTATTTGTAACTAAGTGGAAATAATTCAACTAAATATATTTTTGCAGATAAAATTATATTTCTATTTAATAATTATTAAATGTGTAAGAAAAAGATTCTTTCCTTTGAAATAATAAATAGGAGCTATTTAATCAAGCATAAGGGCAGCTTAGGTTCTATCCTTCTCGAGAATATTACATTGCATCCTCATCTCATTCTCATTTCCTCTAATTAAGAATTGAAAGATTTTTGTAGTAAACAGATGCTTTCAACGTTCATACTTAACGTAATATAAAGAAATGACATCGAACTCGAATGTAAAATTTCCCCACGAATTTTACAATTAAACAATGTTAACTCTGAGAAAATAAATGGAAAGAAAATGAGAAGGATGGAAATTTTTCATTGAAAAGTTAATTATAAATAACAGCAATAGTAGCAATAGTATTATGATAATGTGTTATCTTTGTTTGCTATATTTTGGATTCAATTAATGTAATTAAAGTCTTCATTGTATTATCAAACATTCATCTCTACTGTTCTTCCCTTAATCACTTATCAATTGGCTTAAGTAAAGATGAGAATGTCATAGCCTTCTACTACGTTTTCTAGTATAAGTAAAGCATAAAATCATCTGTTATAAAAATATGTTCCATTATTGCAATTGATAACTGATAAGATAAAGAGTAATAAGAGTGTGAAGTGAAATGAAAAGAAAGCTTTATCAGAAAAAGAGATAAGATTTATTGCAAACTTATTTCTAATTTTTCGATATTTGAATTTAAATTATCATTTCTGTTTCTGTTTGTTGCATGTTTTCAGCATTATCTTTCTTTATCATATCTAAAGGTAAAGATAAGAGATAATGTGAAAATGTGGTTAGCAAGAGTGCTAATTATTGCTAATAGAAAAAGCGTCGTGATTGAACTGGTTGCTAACAATTCAGAAGAGACAAGAATTTTCAAATTGTGATGGCAAATCTGTGAAGGTGTAACGATGACTGATGGTTTTTAGGTTGTGTGGTGACTGTGGTACGCGTGGTGTGACTTGCTTGACCCTGGGGACTGTTGTATGGATGATTTGAAGGCCTTACTTTGGGTTGGTACGGTTGGTTGTTTGATCGCTGAAAGAGAGAATGGTGAACCTACTCGACCTATAAATCCGTGGAATGAGGAGGCCACCTGGTATAATGGTGGATCTTCTACACAGGTATGCTCATTTCAGCTGTAAGACTTCTCATGGTCATAAAGATTATTTCTCTTTCTCTATCTCTCCCTTTCCTTTCTCAATACTTCACAATAATTTTTAATAGCACAACATTCATAATGTCCTTAATTTAGTTGCAGTTGAATGCATTGTGATAATTAACAATTATCTTTCCCGAATAATCTTTATTTGCTAATCATAACAATTAATGAAGGGAATTCTTGCACAGATCGTAGGAGAGCAACACAGGTTATTTGATTTCAACAAAAACTTGAAGTTTTAATGTTTGAGATTCAAAACATTTTGCATGAGCTTTCCATTGTTTCAGTTTCGAAAGAATGACGTATTGGTACGACTGTCAATTGGTAATTTGGTGGGCCAAAAAGTGACAGTAAACAATGTGCCATGGATTCCTGACCATGATCCGATGGAGCAGATTCGTAAGGATTGGTCTTATTTCGAGCCAAACCCGATTCCTCCATTAAATAATGTCACTGTAGTGACATTCTTAGGTATTCCATATGCCGAGCCACCAGTTTCACAGAGAAGATTTAAGGTGCTATTAACTTTTTCATTTATTATGAAATGAAAGTTAAACTTGAATTGAGCACTGTTGAGATAAATCCAAAATATTTGCTGTTACATTATCTTTTTACTTGTCTATTATTGGATTAATCCAGTGTGCAATAACGAGTAGTTAAGGAAATTTCTGCGAAAGGATGAGGATAGATCCTTCTTAATTTATTGCAAATGTTAGAATAAGCCTTTACTTCAATGTCTGCAGCTTCTTTTCTGTGCCGGGCCTATTAGGTCGTTAATTTTGTCAGCACGTTACTTAATGTGAGCTTCTATGTCTAAATTAAATTAATCTTCCAGCCTCCGCAACTTGTTACCAAACTTCCTGGTAAACAACCATTTCTGGCTCTTCAACATTCTCCATCATGCGCGCAAAATGTCGAAGCTCGACCAACATTGTTTATCAATGATCCGTACCCGTTCCATATCAGCGAGGATTGCCTCTACCTGAATATATTCACTCCTAGTGTTCGTGAGTTTACTATAAATCTGTTGGTACTGAGTTGATGAGCTAATTACATTAGAGATAAAGCTTTTCTTACATTTTTTCCTCATTAAAAATTTTTTAAACCACATTTTTTCTAACGTTAACTCATTCCAGACTTCGCTTGTTAGTCGGCCTGTTATTGTTTTCTTTCATGGAGGTAATTTTCAAACTGGTTCTTCAAATGAATGGCCCGGCCATGTATTATCTTCTCGGGGTATCGTTGTTGTCACTGTAAATTATCGCCTTGGCGCTTTTGGTTTTTTAAGCTTTGGCGACGCAAACACTGGCAATTATGGTTTTCAGGTTATTTATTACGCGCCACTTGAAAAAATGCGTAGTTTTTTTCTGTTTTTTGACTAGATTAAAGAATTGTTAAGTATTACAAGAGCTGAAAATTCGTAAAGCATACCAACGAAGGGTTTTTTATTTGTAGCACATTTAGGATCAGAGGACTGCATTGCAGTTTGTACAGGATCACATAGCATCATTTGGTGGGGACCCAAGACAGGTGACAATTGTTGGGCACGATGCCGGAGCGGTCAGTGTTGGTCTACATATGCTATCACCTTTTTCGAAAAGTACTAACTTCTTGGCTCTGTTTTTGTGTCGTACTATTAATGGGTATACGGTCGTATGTTCTGTTTTCTTCAGATTTATTTCGAGCAGGTGCTGCTTTGTCGGGTGCTGAGATTTCATATCATTCAACTATTGGCAAACCTACTCTTGCATTCAACAATACCATGAAACTGGGGCGATACTTGGGTTGTACGCAGTCAGTAGCAGAACATGTGTGGGATTGCATATTAACGCGATCAACTAATGATATTATACAAGCTGCTCAGACAATACCGGTAGTAACCACAGTATCGTTAATTTTATGTATTATGGGCTCATTAATTTGTATTTTAAGATATTTTGGCAGGCAGTAGAAGGTATATTTATTTTCAGTTTGTCTTTGATAATACGAAAAATTCTCTATAGCATCCATTTTTTCATGAATATCGGAACTTGATTGGTTTGGGCAGTGACATATACTAATTCTTTTGTTTTCCATAATCTGTTCAGGCAGAATATTGTAGGAAACCTTGTATATGATAGCTCTATAGCACTAAGTTCTTCTGTAAGAGTGTTGTTTAGTTGTTCCTTAGAGGTAATTGAATGATTAACTTGTAGGTGGAATACAATCGCTATCTCTTCTTACCACATGTCGATGGTCGATTCATTCCAGCTCATCCAATGGTTCTTTTGAATTCTTTTCCGACTGCTATCACTAGCTATCCATCTGCTGTGCCTTATTTAACAGGTTTCAATAGAGAAGATGGCTCCGAGGTAGGTGATTTTGTACAACGCAGGGGAAAGATTTTGTTGACGCGTAGTAGAGTGGTTAAGGGATACAACGTTAGTTAATGTGTTGGGGTTCGGGACCAACAGAGTGAAGCACAGTGATGGTACCATCTTTCGGGTCTGATGACTGATGACAAAAAACGAGCTGAGTGCTTGCAGTTTTGTTTTTCCTGCAATATCAGCAACATTTTATTTTATTAATCTGGTACAGTTTGACTTTTTTCAAAATTCTACTATCAATTTTTGTTATTAGAATCTGACGCTGTAGTCGTGAATAAGTGGAAACATTTTAGTCTTCAAATCTCAAAACTTCTAAATTTATGAATTTTCGAAACTGATGAGAAGTGTTGGAAACGTTCTTATTTTTTTTCTTATTATTTGCAGGTAGTACTTGAAGATCGGCTTTTGGGGGAATTTAATGATTTTATTTTGGTCGACCATGAATACCTTAAAAATTACGTACTTGAATATGCTTTCCGCCACAATTATACAACAAATCGCGAAGCAGTAGCAGAAGCAATTATTGACCGTTATACTTATTGGCCAGATGCGTCTGATAAACGTGCAGTAATGAAAGAATTCATTCATGTTTGTTGATTTCATTTTTTACTTCTTGCAAACTTATTTCTAATTTTTCTATTACTTTTTTTTTGATCTATCATTTCTGTTTTTGATCATATCTATTTCAATATTGAGTGGTGGAATCATTGTTGCTTGGTATACAGCTTCAGCGTTATCTTTATGATATCTAGGAACGAGGCAGTATATCATTTGAGGACATTTCTAAAATTAGCAGTCTTTCCAAGATTTCTGGAATTAACAATCTTCGCTGGAGTTTAGTATTAGAGTTATGTTGTTAGCTTTTTTTATCAGAATTATTCCACTATTTGAACCATGTGACTAGAATTTCTAATATATTATTTTATTATAATAGAATACAGTTTTTTTAGATGGTGACGGATGCTTACTACGTTGCCCCAATAAGTCTCTCTGCTCACTTACATTCTGCTGCCGGCTCGCGAGTATTCATGTATGTAAATAATTATGAATTTGGGCGAGGATCCAGCCAACAACTTTTCCCAAATTGGATGAGTCAGTATTTTCTTCGCTTCAAATCTTTTTCACATTTACAATTCTCATTTTGGTAGTATGTTTGGTTATTCCTATAATTCAGGTAAAAAAATGAAAGCATTTGAAATTCCATCACGCTTATGTAGTTGTTCTATGAGGCATAACCACTTTCGAGATATAAATCGTTATTGCGCTTAGGTTGGTTAGAATAGTTTCAATATTCTAGTTACATAGTAACTTGAATATTCGGATCGTATCCAGCACTTCTAACCTAACCACTCCCTTCCTTGTATGTATTTATTTATTTAGCTCTTTCATTTTATAATAAAATTGCAGCTGTATGTCATGATTGTGATTTATACTTATTGTTTGGTTTTCCGTTTATGTCGAAAGATCTGTTACCGAAGCATTTTGAAAATATAACATGGACAGACGCCGATCGAAATGCTAGTCAGCTTTTAACATCTATATTTCGGCAGTTTGCGACGTATATGTATGTTGCCCTGTTGTTGCACGTAATATCTTTTCATTTTCTGTGTTGTTTGTCTAATTCTTTTCTAGAAATTTAACCGAACGTGTTCTTCAAAGGTGGTTAACATTTTATGCGTTTGACTGTTTTTGATTAAGTATCTGAATCACAAATCTTTCACCTTTGTTTATTTCATTCTTAACTTTTGGAAATGGTTTATTAGGAACCCAAACATTCCAACGGATTCTAGTTGGCTAGCTTTTGAACCGCGGCGACATTGGTATCTCAATTTCAATTACTCATTATTTTCTGATTTTACTAAACCTGGTACATTAGAACGCGATTATCGTTGGGACTCTGTGTCGTTCTGGAATATATACATTCCTTCGGTCAGTTTCTACTTGAAAAGTTATGATAGGCACCGGTAGATAGTTTTGCTTTTTTCAATTACTAATTGATCTTTTTTATCGTGAAATCTTAATTATATTTGTGTAAATAAATCTTTTATCCATTGAGACGAATAACAGCATAATATTCAAATCTACTTATTACTTTTTATTGTGTTTAGTTCTTTGTGATTCTTAAATCTTTTTTTATTTTCAGTTAGTACAGTACATGACGACAACATTTCCGTCTCTTGAAGCTAAAATTCGAAAAGAATTGGTGATTTATCAGATGTCACTTGGTATAGTTGTATGCATACTGTTTGTAATTCTTATGTTGATGTGTCTTTTTGCTTATTTGTTATTTGAGAGGAATCCAAAAAGAATCGCGAATGAATTGAATCATGAAAGGTTGATACATAACGTAAATCAGCACTTTTTGCGGCAATCGAGTCAAGAATCATGTTTGTAACAGGTTTTCTCACTAATTTTTAGGATCTTTTTCTCATTTTTTTTTTTTTTTTTTTTTGCTTAGTGGAAATCTTTTTTTCCTTGCTTATTTGTAATTTTAATAACTAATGCAAAAATATGCTTTATAATTAAAAGTGACTGGATTCTTAGTTGTTTGTAATACTCATATTACCAAAATTATTTACATCAAACTTATGCATCATTTCGTTTTTAACTACATTATGTTTTATATCTTTGCCGACTTAAATTTGTGCATCCATGCTTTTATGTGAATAATTCAGAAGTTTATTAAGTTCGCTCATTATATTTTTGTATATATTTGCTAGAATATGAAATTTTGTCATCACTCACTTATTGTGTATAACAGTGCTATGAGTTGTTCATTTGAAAGTAAATACATGACTCATGAAGTGTATACTTTAATGTAAATTGCTTCAAAAAGCAGCGAAAAGTATTTGTATAAATTGCTCTTTTGGCTATGTCTGTGATACTGAAGCTTGCATGAATACTACTAACTATAATTTTATAATTTGTGTCGAAGTTTATGAGAATTTGGGGATTGGGTGGATATGTGCAGTTTTGCATGTGATCAAGACTTTTTAATTTAAGAACTGAAAAAACTTATTCAGGGTCCGAATAAAATGGCTCCGAAACGGACTTCAAAAAAAGGCAGCATTGGAACAGATAAAGCAGAAAAAGGTATGCTTTATATTTACTTTATAAAAGCATTCGCAGTTAACTGGTTGCTTAGCTTTATGTTGCTTTTCTCTGTTATTTTTCAAATGAATTTACAGGAACTGGTAAGCAAAAAGTGGCGAAAGCTTTGGATGCTAAAAAGAAGGTTGTCAAAGGACAATTTAAAGTCCATAAGAAAGGGGTGCGTATTTGAACAGTTTTTCTTGTATTCTTAGTGATGCATCATTTTAGATGGATGGAAATTTTAGTTTTGCAATTTCGGCAATATTTCAGGTTAGGACATCTGTGCATTTTCATAGACCACGTACATTGACTTTACCACGATCTCCTCGTTATCCACGAAAATCCGTTCCTAGGCGTGACAAACTTGATGCATATGCCATCATCAAACATCCGTTGACAACGGAATCAGCAATGAAGAAGATTGAAGATACAAACACTTTGGTTTTTATTGTTGATATCAAGTCAAATAAGCCACAGATACGACTCGCTGTTAAAAAACTTTACAATATCGACGTGCAGAAGGTACTTTCTATTTACTGGAGTGTATTTAGATTCTTACAATCTTTTGATTTATATCAGGATTTTTTTTTGCTTCAATCCTCAGAGTTTCTCCAAAACTTTTCGCTGTTAAAATCTCCGAACGCCTAATATAACTATCAATAATTTGATTTTAGGTGAATACTTTGATTACGCCAAATCACGAGAAAAAGGCATACGTTCGTTTGGCACCTGACTATGACGCACTAGACGTTGCAAATAAAATTGGCATTATTTGAAGTGTCTTATGTATGCCATGCAGTTCCTTATTGTTTTTTATATATGAATGAATGAAATAAATGATTTTTGTTTGGTAGTTGTTTGGAGTTTACCTTCAAGTTTATCAGTTGCTTCAACCAATCATTAGTTAATTTATCTAGTTGGACAAGAATGAGTAATAAATTCCTAAAGAAATTCCTTTACATGTCCTTCTCGGATAATTCCTTATGGGTCCTTCTTGGACAGTGATAGTAATTTCGAGGTTATACTTGCTGTGATTGTATGGAAAAGTATGATTAAAATGCTATGAAATACGAACGTAGTGAAATTAATCGGATTAAGCATTTTTATGAAATATCGTTTTAAATTAGAGAAATATAGATAAACAATTCTTAGTTTTGTACAATTGACTGCATTACGTTGATATCAGTGTCAAATTGGAATACTGAGTAATGAACTCTTTGTATGTTTACGCTAAAAGTTTATGATAATCCTATGCAGAGTTCCCAGAGGTGAAAATTGAATCCCTTTTCGCTTCATAGTTGTTTGCATATTGCCTCGTGGCTATTAAAAATTCATAAAGGAAAAGAAACCGATGTTTTCAGCAATGACAAAAGATGAAATTAAAGACTCCGCTTGTGATCAGTTAATCAAACAAGGTGAAACTTCAGAACAAGAGCAAAGAGCAGAATTGAGAGAACGCTTCTTGAGGTTGATGTCTTTTTTAGGAGGCAAACAGGTTTGCTTTTTTCATTTCTAAATGATCAGTGCAATACGTTTGCTTCATTAGGCAAATAAAAAGGCATAACTGTTATTTACCTTAAGTAGAAAGCTTCTTTATTCCTGGGCAAAAAAGTAATAATTTGGCAAAACTTTAATGTTTGAGAAACGAAGGATCCATTAATTCATGATGTAAACAAATTATATGAACATCACTTTAGATAGAGCTCGATATGCACGAACGTACTCAAGTGACAGGTAAATTTTGTGCTGTAAAGGCAGATCAAACCCATTACATCGTTGATGCACTGATTACACCAATCGGTCTGATCAATCATGCTATTTTGAGGATGAATGATACAATCATGATCTCAACCAATGATCTAAGTGAACTGTCAGATTCCAAAATTCCCATTTAGTAAACAATTCACAAAGATTTATTCAAGTCTATAATAATGCTAGAAGATAGGTATATTATTATAAGCTATTATAAATATATTCTTTGAACAACATGTATGATAATATTATATTTCTGTTAAATAAATTGCTTACAATCGGACTAGACGATAGAACGAGTGAAGAACACTTTAAAATTAGTATAAAAGAAATAAGGATAACGAAAAAAAGAAGAACTAAGTACCAGTTATTTCAATGAAAACCGTATAGAATTAATGAGTTTCAAGTAGTACAATTTCAAATGGCACTAAGCCTGACTTCACATTTCAGCATCTTCTCTATGGGATATTTGCGAACTTTTTTTTGCATCCATTTTTTTTTTTTTATTTTCTTGGTGGACACCCATAATGAATAGGTTTCCACCAAGAAATGGAATTTACATAGTTGATCACTGGTTGACTGTCACAATCCCTTGTCAAAAATAGTATTTCCTCCTTTAGTACTTGATACTGCAACATACAGTTATAAAAATTAATTAGGGAGTTATTATTCTGATTGAGTAGTTGTTACGAATCTCTAAAAGAGAAGATGCTGACAGCATGACGTATTTACGTGGATAATGCAGGTGCTTGCGAGGCAAATTTCGCTCCCAATGTGATGATGTTTTCAAATTTTAATAGGTTGAGAGCAACATGTGGGTCTTCGTCATAAGATTTCAAAAAGTGCACAGTTAATTCAATCACTGCCTCGATAATCTGCACCGGATCGTGTAAACTTTGTATGCCGAACCAACGGCACAGTATTTCCGGAATCAATAGAGGAAAATCTGTGAAAGAGTGATGCAAAGCTTCACTGAAATTTGAACTATTAAAAAATAGTATTCCTTTTCTCATACTTGATAAATGCAGAATATATTATAAAAACGTTAATTAGGGATTTATTATTCTGCAACTATAAAACAGTTTAACTCCCATACTGCTATTGCAAAATTTGCCATACTTTTTCAATTTCCTATCCTAAACATTTGAAAACTTGAATCATGTTTTTAAAAATTTCCGAACATACTTAAATGTAAGTAGAATGCCGCGTTTCGAGTTTTCGGTAACTTGTAACATATCTTTTACGTTTGCTTCCCATTGAAAGTTTTCTGCATTCATAAACAAAATAGGCTGATAAACACGTGTAAGCAATTCTCTTTCAATTGAAAACATCCATCCGTCGAGTATAACAGCAGCCTGAACATGCAGAATTGGGCTGTATTTCGCTTCGCTTCATTAAAATTGAAGAAAAAAGACGAAAAAAAAAAAACTGAAAAATCAACCCACTTTAAAACCAGTAGGGGAAGTTGCTGCAGCAGCGATAGCTGTTGCACCACCAAACGAATGACCAGCAATAAATACCCTGTCCATATCTAAGTGATCCTATAATAAATTATTTCAAACATTTTGAAGCACGAATAATACCGAGCTAAAATTTTTAGGAATTGTTTAATCAACAAATTCAAATGAAATTCATGCATAAATTTGCAACGCCGAGAATACCTTGAACTGTGACCACTCGAAATCATTTCCCAACAATAACTTTTTGCCAATTTGTTGATCCGAACTAAACTGTCCCAAATTTAACTCCTCGAGTATATGTAACGTTTTAATACATTCAGCTACTCGTTTATGAAGCTAAAAGAACTTCTTGTTTCACTTTAAAATTGCTTAGTACTTATCAACCACTTACTAAAACAGAAGTGAATCTGACTAACCTTTTTTTGCAACGAGATATCCGTAGACGAAATTTAAGAAAAGAAATCAGTAGACTTATGCATTCAGTTCTAAAAATTTCGAATCCTTATGGATATTTCTATATGAACTATGAGATTATTTCTATCCACTCATTCATACTAATTTTGTTCGTAGGATGTTTACTTTTCGTCTCTTATACACTTCAAAATTTGGCCCAAATTATTATTAACAAAGATAAAAAAGCGAAAATCCACAAACTTGTCCATTTCGCAGCTGAAATTCATCGTCGGTTGGCATAAGTTTACGAATTTTCACCGGCACTTCTATTTTTTCGCCTGTTTTTTCATTAGTTTCATATTTATATGTCCAGCAAGCTGAACAATCTCTAAAAAACCACAATTTCAATTTTGTTTGTTCAGATGCAAATTTAAAAACTTATAGTCAATAAAATCCTTGCAATAAGACAATAGATTTCTTGTTTTTTTATTATTACCATGGAAAGCATGAATTACCTATGCTCGATAGCTGCTACAATATAGCCATGACTTGCCAGTGATGAACAATAAACTGAATAAAAGTGACGACATGCTGAAAGGCCATGAGAAAATATCAGAACTGGATAGTTTGCTATACTCTTATTTAATGCAAGATGCCGACGAGCGGGAATCCTGTAATTAACAAACTGAAAAAGAAGAATTTATTGATAATTATTTGAAAGGTTAGAAAAAGATCAAAAAAATATCTATGCTATTCAGTAATCATTTTCATCATTCAAATATCATTTTCTTCAGATTTCTCGCAAAACTACTTTTTCTCCAAACTCACTAATTATCCCATCACATCCAGTAAAAAAAATTTCATGGCAATAAATTAAGTTCTCTAATTACCCTATACTTTCTTTTAAAAAGTAACTGTATTAAAAAATTATTCTGAAAACACTATAATTTATTTGCTAAGTATATACCTTTTTTCTCCAATAAACCATCTGTGAATAAAATGCATCCAGCGAGAAGATGAATTCCGATAGTCTGCTAAACCATCTAAATATTCTTCTCTCGGAAGCCACAAGGGATGTTCCGATTGTTCCTGAAGAAAAATCCAAATTTCTTTAAAAGATTTCATGATGATAAGTTATTCCAATCCTCTTTTCAACGGGGAATTGTAATTGTACATACTTCAGCAGCACAATGATACCATTGCAATAACAATTCGATCATAAAAAAAAAAAAAAAAATTCATCTTATTTACTGATTGAAATATGTACCACTACTTCTAAACTTTGTATATATATATATATATATATATATACATACTTTTTTTAACTTAATTAATTATTCCTGATGTTTACCTAGCATTATTTTTCAAAATATTAAAAAAATATTTGCATGTAATCTGATCTCAGAAACATTCTTCCTCTTTTTTTAACTTCATTTCAGTTTTAAAAAGTTCCAAATAACTGAGTTATAAATTATGAACATCTGATCTGGTTGCACTATCGCATGGATAGTAGATTGTTAACAGGATGCCAATATCATCACCACTTGCACTATCACTATCGCTGATCATTATTTCGGCACATCCTACATCAAATTTTCCACTTCCATAACAAGAGAGTACAGTGGAATCTTTTTGCATCGATGTTGAGATGCCCATTATGATAGAAACTGAAATTCCTCTTCTTATAACTGCAATTGAGCATTAAAAATCCTAAATTTATAGTCTAAGGACTTGCTTCAGAGCATATAACAGTCACATGTGATATTTAATAAGATATGATCGGCTTTTGATTGTTTACAACAAAGCAACTTTTTCACCATTGCAAAAAATCTCGTCAGATGTAATCGATCTTCGTGAAAAAATTAAGAAACATTGAAAAACAACGTGCTACTTTATGACCATACAAATGAATTCTAAATAAAAAATAAATTAGAAATGTTTGTAGATATTTCAAAACAGGTAAATCATATTAATAAAAAAAATATATATATTAGTATAAACAGAGCTAATATAAACAAATACCTCACAGATATGAGACAGATACGAGAGAATAAAACGACATCAAGATTCATCGTTTAGAAAGAACTGCGACACTCAGACTAATTTCCTCAACTAATAAATCAATCGATAAAATCTTACTGTTAACATCTAAATGCGTACGAAAAAAGACCATTAGCAAACATAGAAACAAGAAAAAAAAAAATGTTTCAGATAGCAAATGTGATTCAATACGTAAACGTGAACGTGTGACGTGACGGCATCTAAACATTGTCAATAAAAATTGCTTACAAGCACCAAGACGACTCATTGTTTATTATCTGTCATTTGTTGAGTGGAAGGTGTTGCGAAATAAGATAGAAGGGAAGACGAAATTCGTTATCAATGATGAAAAGCAATGATGACAATGAGAAGACAAAGGTAAGTAAACGCGTCTATTCCCACCTGTGCACCTACAGGTATTTAGCAACGCGATATAGGTTTGATGAAAAGAGTGTGTCGTCAGAAATAGTGCACATGAAAGGCAAAATAAATATTTTAGTTTAAAAATTTGAGAAGAAAAGTGAAATGATTACACTTGTGAGAAAAGTTCCATTGATATAATGTCCTGTTGACCTTTGACCTTTTTGTTGATAGTAAATGAAGCAGACTGACTGATGATGAATTATGGCTGCAAGCAGAAGAAATTAAAAAAAAAAAAAAATTATTTTTTGCTCTCTGAATTTCATTCAAACAATCTTTTTTGCATCCTAAATTTAATCAATTCATTCATTTGTTACAGTCCTATCTAAATTGATCGTTGCAATTTGTCTCATTTTCAAAGATTTTCACTATTTTTATAACGCTTTTTTTTTTTTTTACAAGAACAGGAAGAGAAGAATACGACTACTTCGTCTAACTCACAGCATGTGCAAACACATTCGACCAATCCGTCACGTACGTCTAATTGTATTTACATATTAAAATATTACGCATTATTTCATATTTTTCATCAAATTCAAAAAGTTTTCAAATCTATCCATCATTTATATGTTTAATTTTTTAAAAGCTCATTCTATTGATCTGATAGGTCTTCATTTATTGTTTTTAGTGTTTGCTAATGTGAAAATTGTTAACGAAGCCACGTCGCAAAGGAAAAATGAAAAAATCGATGAGCAGAAGTATTGAAATTCTAACAGTTTATTTGATTAAAATTGGGAAAATATTTTGAAACGATAATTATGCTACTGTAATTTGTAGAATATCAAATGAACGGGACAAAAATATGCTGAGAGCGTTAACTTCACCTGGTGGTCGATCTCCTGAAGTTCCCAGCATACCAAGTAATTTAACATTTCAGTTATTCATAATATTTCTTCACAAAGTACTTCTGGAGGTGAATAATTCTTTGAATTTTGAAAAGTCAAATTATATATATCTGACGGTAGTCAGCTATTTAGATAAATGTTACCTATAAATTGGCATTATTAAGGAAAGACGACAACAGAATGCTAAATAACGGAATGTATCTGTGAATTTTTATTAGCTTTCTGTTTCTTTTTTTTTTTTTTTTCAGTGTGTAAAACAGCTGCAAAATCTAAGTCAGAGAGTCATGTATCCAGATCTGATGTGGTAACAGTAAGTTTTGCTGATTCACAAATATTTTTAACGAAATAGAAGATTTAAACAGAGCCGATATTTAATGATATCATCTACAACTTAAAATTTCTTATTTTAAATAAAATTATAAGTTTCGTAATGTTTTTTGATGTAAAATTTTCAAACGATTAATGAAGTTGAGATGCTAAAACCTTTTATTCAAGGTTACAATTAAATCAACCATATCATCGTTCAAACCACTGAAGTTAGTAATGAAGAAAACAACAAGTATACGTGTGCTAAAGAACTATTTGCAATCACGACTTGGCGGCGCTCATCAAATAATTCTCATTCATGATAATAAGGAATTAAAGTATGTTTACTGTTTCAGAAATCTTTCTTCCTTAAAATTGTATCACAGCTAATACAATTATGTTGTGTTTTTTTGGGAAGAAGGAGAATAACTTATAAATTTCTGTCGTAAAATGAAACAGCTATTATATGTGACACATTGATTATTTATAGATTATTGATATTTCAATATCTACCTTCTTATGGTTTTTTGAGGAATGAAGGCGGCACTCTGGCATCATTTGGTATTACTTCGGGTAGCGTGTTGTGGTTGTTAGTAAAACCAGTAACTGGTAATAATGATCGTGAAGAGATTGCATCTTTAATTCGAATATCTCAGTCGCTAGCTAATCTGCGAAATCTGATTCGTTCTCTGCCAACTGTTGGCAGTTGTGAACCAACTTTTTCAGGGCACATCTTATTTTCAATTGCTTTTTTTTTAGTTAGCATCTATTCTGTGATTAATTTTAGTACATTAAATTATTTCTTCTTTACTTTTACTAGTTTTTAGTCGTAGGATGGTCAGTATTCACTACATTATGTTTATTGTAATTGATGTGAAATGAATTGTATACCAATTACATTAAACATGTTGTTGAATTGTATGAACTGTGTTCTTGATAATTCAGATCTGCTGAATATATTGAAGTTACACCTTGCAAGGAAGCGGAGCATGAACAGATGCGAGAAAAAATGAAATTATTGATACAGCGGAGAGAAAAATTTCGACGGAACAACGTAAAAGACTTGTCAGGAAATGTGCAGCAAGAAATTCAAGGAATATCCGCAAAAGAAGTAACCACTGATATACTATCACAGTCACCATCATCATGCAGTAATTCTTGCACGTAAGCCTTTTAGACATATATCATTTTTTTGCAATAACATTTGATATTTCGAAGCATCAAATCAGTTTTTAGTACATGTTTTAGTACATCCTCCATAACTTTGTCACCATCTATTTCAATTCCAAAGGGTACTGCTGACGTTGTAAACCAGAAGGAATTAGCGACATATTTTGACCCACCAGAAACAATTAAACAAAGGAAATTTGAAGATGAAGAATTGTTTGATGTCCCATCAAATGAAAGCGAACTACTTAAAGTGAAAGTTAAATCTTATTCTAATCGCAGATAAGAATAATTCCATCGATTTTGCTTATGACCATATTTAGGAATAAAGTTTAGTTTCTTCTGTAAGTTCAGTATTCATATTGTGATATAACTACATTATCAAGTGATGTATTTCACTATATGATTGCTAACACTCTGCTCCACAAACCAGCATTACTTACTGGGATTTTGATGATAATTTCGTTCAAATTTCTAATTATTTTCGCTGAGTATTCAGAAAGATAATAATAACAGCAGTGTACATTGTTGTGCATATAGAAGTCGGTTTCAGATAAAAGATGAGATAAAGAACAAACGATGTGGACTATGTCGAATAAAGTTGCAAATAGCTGATAGAGAAATACAGTGCACATGTGGCCATGTATTTTGCAGTAAACATCGTAATCCGCAGATACACAGGTGTTGAACTTTACTTTGAATTTGGATTATGATCAATGCTGGTAGGAATCTTTCTTACCAAAATACTCTAACGTTTTGTTTTCCTTGCCTTCGATATTAATTAGTTTTGTTAAAAGAAGTTTTCTTCTTTGCTTGCTTGGTCGGAGATTTTTCCTTTCTTACAAAATTTTGCTTATTTATCAGTTCCAGCGATTCTTGTGATGCAAAAGTTCCCACTTCTTAATTTAGATGTTTAAGATGTAATATTTTAGGTGCAGTATCGATTTAAAATCAGTCGACCGAGAACATGTCAGGACGGCACTACCAAAATTAGTGCGAGACATTCCAAAATCAAAAATATAGATTGCTGTAAAGTTGATTTGGTATTGAAATATATCGGAAAAAGAACCTTTTCCTAAAAAACTGGTTATAAAATAACGTTATTTCATCACTCCACAGTCATGTGTACTGTGCACAACAACGCTTGCCATTCTTTCGACTGTGCAAATTTATTTAAAAATTAATTTTTCTGTATAACATATTAATGTAATCATTTGATGTCATTTACAATCTCTGATTAAGTTCCAGTAGTAGGCGTCTCTCATAATCATGTATATATCTATGCAAACGTCGACTGTAGAGATTCTTCTCTTCTGGTCCTCTGATATTTCTTACCGGAATATATCTAAATGTTTTTATTGCTTTAAAGAAAAACAACCTTTTCTCACTCAAATCATCAATTCTCATCTGTTATCCTTTCCTCATGATTTTGCATCACATTCTAATTTTTAAATTCTGAATAGGAATAAAGGTCCAATCAAATACAAATTTGGAATTCACAAAATAAACGCTATTTTCGCTAAAAAATAAACTCACTTCCTAAAAGCACGTTCCCAATCACCGGAAGATTCATATACACTGTACAGAATTGATGTAACCGCAAGCAATGTCATACTTCTTGAACCTGATTTCCATCTACAAATAATCATAAAAGTTTGGGCTTTACACTTAATTTCTCATTAATGATTTTGAAATGATCAACTACTATACGATAGTGAAATGTAATGTGATATAGTAATAATCTAGGCACGTAGATTGTTTTCTATGTAAGCAATTAAAACAGCCAAAAATATATTGTTTTGCTTGCTTCATAAAGATGTGCGATTTTTGATGCATTCCTCCCTGACCTATCATGAAAGGATCAGAAATGCCCATATAAATCTAAGAACTTTTTTGAAAATCTATTGCTATCTGACTTTTCTAAGCTAAAAGCAATGATCAATTATAGAGAAAGTAACTAACTTGATATATCTATCGATAGGAAGCCGGCACACTTTGACTCCATCTTGCTTTGCAGCCAGCAATGTTGCATGTGGATGCAAACGGTGTTGCGCAACTCTATCTACTATACCACCCAAAACATATGCTTTCGAGCCTTCCACCTGCACATCATCAGTTTTTCCAAGGTTTTAGGTCTAATTCATTTGAACTTCTGTATGTTAATCTTAAAACATACCTCCTCCAAATCAAGTTCTGCATGAGGACTTAAATAAATTATTTCTTCACGGGAAAAATGATTTAGGTAGCTGGATGATGAGACTGTGAGGGATATATTTCGTGGTGAATTGGCCAATGATAAATACCTGTAATCAATTTCTACGTATTTTCAAAAGCTTGAGGATACTGTAAATATGAACAAAACTAACCTATATTGTGCTTCCAAGATGTTTTCGTCCTTCATATCAAAATTAAAGAAATAAAGGGGCCATGGACGTCGCCGATCTCGGTTTTCACTTGCCAAATAGGAAAGCTGGATTAAAGTTTGGGATAAAGCTTGCGGCGAGAGTTCATTTAGAAATCGACAATCAATCAGCAATGCAGGCTTTGGGTCTAATTGAAGATTATGGAGATGATTCATCAATCTTCGATGATTAGCAATGCGTTCTGAAGACAGTGTTACATTTACATTTTTTTTTTTTTTTTTTTAAAAATGAGGTCTTGGATGTTATTAAAAAATTTATTTAAAAAACGAAAAAACAAAAAAAAAAAAAAAAAACAAAAATAGTGAAGAACGATCTTGATAAATGAAATAAAAATTCGAGATATCATCATATTAATAAAATAACGTACTGCAATGTGTGGCACCCACAAACATTGCGAATCCTGATGTGGGTTTTGAAGTTTCGAACTTCTTAACAACCTTCAACTGATGCTTTGTTTTACATTTCAACTCCTTTAATTCTTTCTGACGACAAAATTTAATATGATTGAACCGTTGCTTTTGAGTTTCACATTGAAGCAATCTTTTCCAATCTGCATCTGACAAGTGTTCGGGAAAATAATTGTAACAACGAGACAGCAACTGTAATGGACGAGTTTACTTGATGTAACTCTAAAATCATTCATTCTTATTTTGAATTTTGCTATGGTTTATGGACACTGAATCAATGTCCAAATTCTAGTCAAAAAGTAGACGTTATCAAATAAAAATTAAAATATATTTCGGTTGGAAGTATAACGAATTTCCGTCTTCAGTAACTTATTCCACATATAGCCCATCAGAAGTCCTCTTTTTATGCTTAACAAACTTCATTTAAAATAATCATGGACGTTTACAGCTATCTAAGATTATCTAGTTCATATGGTTCAAGTCATAATTTTAGCTTTTTTTTTTTAAAAAAAGAAAAAAAAAAACCTATTATTAACATTTATCACAGTTTAAATTTTTGAAGAAGTAAATGTAAAAAGTTGAAGCTAAATAATTAACAAAAGAGAGAACAGAAAGATAAAATGATGAAAACATGTGTGCATATATGAATATTTAATTCTAGAAGAAAGTATTAGCTAACCTGTACTTCCGTAATAATGCTCGTAAGTTGTTCATGTTGCTTTCCAGTCAATGTTTCGATGAACTGTTGAGAGGGTAAAGATTTCAGTTTGCTTTCAGCTCAAATTTTCACACAAAAATTAAAACTAATTAATTTTTAAATATTTAAATCTGCAAACAATTCTAAACTTACTCCACAACACTGGCCAATTTGCATCCAATCCTAACGTCTTCTGTAACTTCCATACCATTTTTCTCCATCCACTTCGAATAACATCTCGATCAAATTCCAAAAACTTCCTCCACATCTGTTCTTCGCAAACAAATATTACACTATATCGCACTAATTTTCGTTATTAGACGGTACAATTACATAAACAATCAAACATCTAAAACTAAAGAGCAATTCCAATTCAATTTAGTTTATTCCTCCTCACGAGAAGAAAGTTCTGGAAATAAACTCGTCTTACCATCCATATATTTTGGATGTAGGAAATAAATATCAATGAAGATGGAAAATATTCCAAACACAAATTTTTATTCTATTAAGAAATTAAACGAAATTATAACATTCCACAACATGAATTAGTAATAGTTAAAATTAAAGATGATGAATATTTACTTGATATTTAGCCAGATGTAACACTTCTATATCACATGTACTTTATTTTGCTGAATACATCAGTGAAAATAAACACAAAAAAAATTGTTGAAAATGTTTTCGTTAGATAGAAGATGATTAGTCGTGTTGTCTGGAATTCCAATTATAATTTTATCCCATAAGGAACCGATTACAAAGTTAACACAAAGCAAGATAGCCCCATTTTACGAAATCAAATATAAAAATGCATTATGGTCTCCAAAATCAGGTTTTTTTGCTTTTATCTTCTACTTCATCCTCTACAATTTCCAGTTGAGCTCGAAATTCAGGTATTCTCATAATCTTCTCAATTACATTTAAACGCACAGTGAGATTTTTTGGCAAATCTTCTTTGTTTTGTATCAACAGACCACCTTTCAATGTCTTCCGAGATTCTGCCCTCAGTAAAGTCTTCTTAGCATTACCTTAAAAAAATTTTACAACTTGGAAAAATTCTACAATTTAAAAACGAAAAAATAAAAAAAAGTAAGAATTATCAAATGAAATTCATGAAATTTATCGTTCACCTGCAACGAATTTTCGAGCTAATTCAGGACGAATACCAAAAAGAACTGAAATATTGGCAGCATCATATGGTGCTCTGATATCAATCATTCTTTCAGCACCACTTGCTATTATAACGCCATCACCATCTTTTGTAGACATTAACAATTGTCGACCATTTACTAATACCTGAAGCTATTTCAAAATTTACAAACCAAGTTTTAGAAAAATTATAAACTATTCGCCAAAGAGTAGAAAAAAAAAAAAAGGTTTGGTTTCACTTTGATAAGTGAAATGTCTTTAAGCGGAAAATTTCACATATTATGGCATTAATAATTAGGAGGAATACCTCTCGTCTTTGACTGCTGTCTTTTAAGGCATCGGCATAAGTGATCTCAAACGCTATACCATCATTAATACAAAGTTGGATAATCTAGAACAAAATTATCATCATACTACATTATCATTTTGCACATTATTAAAGTTGCTGTAGTTTGAAAAACGTATGCACTTATCACTTGCACTACTGCTGCACATTCAGGTATGATCATCGATTAAATCTCCTAGTTCCATATCCTCAGAATAAATGACACTGATCAAACTTTATTTAAATAAAACAGTTTAAAAACCATGAAATACTACCTTGCTTTTATTAAGCCATCCAACAGATGTTGATGCTTGCTCATAAGTGATAATATCAACAAAATCACCCTTCTTGCTTAACGTCTGAAGGATCTGATCATCTGATGGACGCACAGCGATTAAATCGTATTTTTTCAGCTGAGGATGATGCATTAGTAAATGGACCTCTGTGCTGTTTGACACTGTAGCAGTTAGACGACTAAAAATTTGAGATGAATTAAGATAGAGATTTAACTAATTCACTTCTAAATCATTTCATCATAATTTATACATTGGCACTATCTTTTTCAAATAAATCATGAGAATTATATATATAAGTCAAAATCCAGTCAGCAAATCAGAGTTACATTTAATTTTAAAAGTACTCGTTGACACACCTGAAAATCCTAAGACGCTTTCCATTTGCTTCAAGCATACTGGTATCCAATTCGGAACAATTAATACTAACTGGATCCGGTATAACATTCCGCTCTTTACCACCTTTCTTTTTCTTCTTTTGTGGTGGCTCATCACCCTAAAACAAATGAAAACAAACACTGATATCAAAGAAAGAAAAAATACAAGGCAGCAAAATTAAAAAATATATAATTCACTTAAATGTCTGCACCTTAAATAAAGACCTTAATTACCTACATCATACTTCCTAAAGCCATATTTGTATGCCTTTTATCTATAACTACTTCCTGCAAGGAATGACTTACCAGATTAGCACATTCCTGTACCATTTGTCCTATATCAGTATTAATTGCGATACAATCATAACCCATTCGCACTGCTCGACGTACCATTGCCATAGTTTCATCCATATTACCCGTATGCCTAATATTCATTTCAGCAAATTCAAAATGATCATCCACAAATGATGAAGACATATTCCTATAACAATTCTATAACATTTTACGTCCCACTAATGTCAAAAGAGAACACACCAAATATCTGAGAAACCTGTTTTAAAACAAATGGAATTACTGCAATTTATCTGAAAAAAAAAAAAAAAAAAAAACAGACGATAAATGAGCCACAAAAAGAGAGCTATTATCAGTCAAGGAATGAGGGAAACTAGGAAAAGCAAACCTGCAAAAGTACAATCATTCAAATCAAACTAATACCAGGCCATATATTAAAAAAAATATTAATGTAGAGGGTTCCTTCCACATGATTGAAATAGCAATGGTATCCATGAAGAAATCATGATAATGCAATATCATTTACCACTTCCCTTTAAATCCGATTTGATATAATCTCGGAAACAGCTGTAGCACAACTTATATGTAATGCTAGGAAAAACACATTAACCAAAACCCTTACTTGCAAAGTAATATGATAGAATACAACCAGTTATTCTGCTAAAACTTTACTGATTCGCCATTTCAGAAATAAGAAATAGGGAGATTACAAAACTCATCACATGCAATATAAAAAGGCTGTATCAAAATCCTATTATTATCACAATATATGTTTCAGCTAATTATTCACATAGATTCCCGACAAAATATCAAATTTTAGCAACTTTGCTTATACAATCGACGGTCCTACCCTTATAACTGAGGGTCTTTTAAAAGAACAGCAAAAATATCGGTAGTGGTTAATATAAAAAGAAATTCGTTATCAGCATGAATGCCAACAATATTTTCCGAAACAGCATTAGCATCACAAAATTCAGAAGGTTTAGATAAAGATATCAACTGCTGCTTAGCAACTCCACCAATTCGACGGCCTGTTTTCCGGTTTCGCAAATCTGAATAGAACTCTGATAAAGATGTTTAAGTATTAACTTTGTAATGCACAGGAGAATATAGATAATGAATACCCGAAGTTATTGCAGACGGTTGCCAATAAACAAATGCGTGTCGTTTAGCTTCCACAATAACTGCGTAAGAACAATCGGTTGGACAACTGCTGAATTTTCGCTGCGTTTTAGATGCCTACAAAATATTCAGAAATATATAGTACAATAAACCGGATTACTTATTATAGTTGTTGAATTACACACATTATAATTTAATATTCTAAAAAAATCATCTTTAAAGCATTAGAAGAATAAATCTAAAGCTCATATCTCTCGCGATCAACAAAAAGATTCGACTTTTATATAGCATAATTTTTTTAATACATATCATAAATTTTTTCTAAAAATAATTAGAACTTTCACCTTACTATATTTTAATTATAATAGCAAATTTTTATGGCCCGTTTGTAGGAAGTACAATTTAGCAAATTTCAAAATCGACATGTACCTGAACGTATCCGAATGCATTAAATGTTGCGTGATGCTGAACTTTTCTGCTGTCTTCTGTAAACTTCCATAAAATACCATCAACATCCATGCGGATACAAAGAAAACATGGTCCAGAATCCAAATATACAGAAAACAAGATATTGTGCGTGGTTATATCACTCTGTAGACATATGCTATTATGCATGTTACTAAAAATATAGTGATGATATCAGTACTACTTAAGCTCAATTTTTTAATTCATATTTAATTCATGCTATTAACATCATCAAGTTAACATCAAAAAAAAAAGGAAAAAAAAAAGAAAAGCAACAGCTTCTTGCTAATCCTTGAATGATTTTACAGGACGGGAAAGTCATAAACAAATCCAACACATTATATCTTAAACTGAAGTGATAATAATGATAATGATCACTTCATGACTTAATTTCTGCGAAGCACAGTTCAACCAACGAATTTTACAAATATCATCCGTACTGATATCACAATCTTCCATTTGTTCGGTGTTAAAATTCCGCTCAACTCCACTGCTACCTAGAGCCTAAATGTGCCATTGAAATTTATGAAAAAATTTAAAAACAGAATTAGAATTACGAAACTATCAAACAAAAAAATATGATATCCACAAAATATGTAATTAATGTTGCCCAAACCTCTGATTCAGATGTGAAGCGCTCCAACGTCTTCGAAGCAATATCCAAAGATTCTGGGTCAATTTCATAGACGCCTTGATCGTCACCCAGCACCAATTCCGACCAATTAGTTAAACCTCCACTTTTAACCAAAAAAAGTTCTAACCTCAAGCAGGAAATTTTTATTACAGAACATATTATGAAAAAATAAACTGGATATTCACCAGTGGTAAAAATCGCAAACAATAAATGAATAAATGATTAGAAATATTAAATCAATAGCATCGCAACAAAGAGCAAGTGACTTACTTGTTATCATCGATAGTATAAGTTGATGACGTTGGATCAACTGATCCACCAAGAATTCCACCGATAAGTATTATGTCTTTTACTGACAAATGAACAGATGTTGCACTCAACGATAACAAAACATCTTTTTTTAAAATTGTCTCATCATAGGTGAACACTGCTGTTACATCTGTTCCTGTTTGAGACCAAGCGTACTTTTTTTTAGCTAGCTTGGCAGTTTCAGTACCTGAAAGTATTAACAAATAGGAAAACCAGCAAAACTAATTGAACCTTTGAATTCCCATAAAAAATCTCCCAAAAACTTTTACCATATTTTTTCTTCATTTCCGGAACTGTATTATCCGATGCATTTAGCCCATCCCCGCAAAAACTTAGATCGCCAGTACTAATAACGATTAAGCTTTCGGGTAATTTGTCGAATGTTACCATTTCAGTATGACCAGTGCATATGATGCTGCTATTCTTAGTCATCTTCATTTTTCCGTCTTCTGAAAAAAATAAATAAATAAAATAAAATAAATATATACGCATGATGGTTGCACAGATGCAAAATTTGAGGACATTACCAATATAAGCCCATTAAATAGCAATGGTTTCTTTCCAACGTCCTATGTAAAAAAAAAAAAAAAATCTGAGTAAAAAAAAGTCTTACAATGCCATTAAGAAAAAAAAAACTGACCGCTGATAACAGTCAACCAGGTTATTTTACTTGAAAAATTTCCTTGATTTGAAGACTTTTTGCTCGGTATAATAGATCGTAGTAATACATCAAACTTATTTTCCACATGACGACTTTCAATAATTATAAATGAGCTTACTTCACCATCAACAATAGGCGGTTCGATACTTAAACATTCCTAAACCAAACGTATAAATTTAAAAATTTAGAAATCAAAAAATTATATAATTATAAATAAACAAAGGAAAAACTGGTATGACCTGTTCGTAATTCTATCGTTTGAAAATCTACACTAGAAAGATAAAATAAAATAAACGGAAATGGTTGCGTTAACCTTCCAAGCTGTCGCACTGCGTCGGTCACCCGTAATATACATTGTGAGACGACCAAAGCCATTAGATACAAAAGCATGGCCAGCATCTGGAAATGATACTGTGACTGGATATCGATCTTGTACTTCTTTTTCGTCAAGTGATACAGTAATGATTGTATGATTTTTATCAACTGAGAACTTCTTTGTCTGCAAAAGTCAAAGTGACAGCCAGTGAAACTACCATGATTTCTCTTCAAAAGAATTACAAAAAAGATAAGTTTGAATCCTTATCTTCGGTTTACAAATGAAAGTTTTCATAGAATCTGAACTTTCGCACGAAGTAGAACGCTTTACGTTATTTACTATCACTACCACTCAGAAGATATATAAGTAATCATGAAAGAAATGCCTCAGTAATTGCTAATATACAGCCTTATTTATAAGTAATGAGCTTATTGCATAAACCAGGCATTATCATCTATTAGTGCTAGATCTTGTTTGGAAAAGACGAATCTGGAAAGCTGAAATTTCAGTAAAAACTGTGATGAAATTAAAAAATAAACAGTAGCGAGTTAATTACCTGAGTATCAAAACTGAATGAACATAAGTGAAAATTCTGCAAAACAATTACAAATCGCCTATGTCCAGAATCGGATGAATGAGGATCGTATGTTAGATAATTGATATCGTTAAATAGTTTAGTATGCTCGAATCCATACTGAACACTGCTTGTCTGCAATTCCCGCACTAAAAGTATTCTTTTCATTAATGACTGAAGTATTATTGAACTGCCTTGATTTTTACGAATAATTCATCCTACCATATTCATTATCATTTCAAAAATTTTCTGACTCTAAACCTAATAACATCAATTTTTCCATAAAAAAAAAAAAATTAATAATTATTGTACTGCCAATGTTAATAACGTAAACAAGTGAAACTATCCGAATAATGACATAAGGAAAAAGTCCAATGAGCGTTACCACAAAGAATAAGGAGATAATTAATTATTAATTAAATTATTTGATGTAATAGCATAAACAAATAAATACAAGATAGGAAAAAAAAAACATACCTGGAACTTCGAGAGGATAACTATAAATCGGAAATGGGTCGAGAGAGAGCTTGTAACCATCAAAATTTGCATCGAGCAACGATGGATCCGGTTTAATGTCGATGAAACTTTCCGGCATCAAATCCATTGCACTCGAGGGAATCTGAAATTCAATGATAGCAACTTTTCAAAATATATTAGAATAAATTGTTGAGAACTACGTTAGGATTAGAAGGTATGTGATCTGCCAATTTCGACTTGCGAATTTCAGCAACGTGACCCTCCTCCCAGCCATACCTAATACTAAGACAACTGTAACCCGTAGGAAGGAGAGATAACGTCGTGTCCTTTCACTCTTTTCCTCAACTATTTCTACCTCTCCCTGTCGTCTGCACACCTCATACTTTGTTCGTGTTTTCGAGTTTAATTCAATTTCAAGAATTTTATAAGTTCTATTTTACTAACGGAAACAAGATTACGAAAAGATGGATTGCTTTATTTACATGTCTTGCGACTAGAGCAGTGCATTGAGAATTAGCAGATAGTTTATCTGCAGAAAGTTTTTTGAATGTTTTCAGATTTGTCGCACGACGCGGCTATCCAGAAATAATTCTAAGTGATAATGGCGGTCAATTTCAGTTAGTTTTTCAAACTCTAATGGAACAAGGAACATAATTGACCGAAGTCCTAGCTAGACATGGAATAAAATGGAGAAATATAATTCCGAAGGTGCCTTGGAGAGGAGGAGTTTATGAACGGATAATCAGCCTAGCGAAAGGAACATTAAGGAATGTCATAGGTAGGAAATTGCTAAAAGAGAAGGAGTTTATAACCTTAATAGTGGAAGTTGAAAGCATACTTAATACTCGTCCATTAACCTACGTAAACTTCAACGATTCAACAATCCTGAGACCTACTGATTTTATTATACCGGACGTATATCTAATGATGCCTATTAATAATACCGATGATCAAGATGATTATACTTCACATAAATATTCACGAGAAACTTATCAGATATTGGACAAGAACATTAGAAATTCTGGATACATTCTGGAAAATATGGAAGGAGGAATACTTAACCAGTTTGAGAGAACGTCACAAATAGAACATAAATCTTCGAAAGGCGCCGAGATTAAAGCCCCTGTTGAAGGAGAAATTGTAATAGTAAACGAATCAAACGTTCCTAGTGGTACCTGGAAATTAGCAAAAATGAAGAAACTCAATAAGGCACAGGATAATAAGATAAGAAATGTTCTAATAGAGTTACCACGAGGAAGATTAAGAATCGACCTATAAATATGTTATATCCATTGGAAATTCAACAGAAAGAAGATACGAAGGACCAATCAACAATATTGAAAGATAGAATATATGAAACTGATAAACGAGAGGAACCCATTAGCTCAACGAACTAGAAATGCTACAAGATAAAAACAAACTACAACAAAAAACGAAGAATGACTCAAGTCCTCCCATCCGAAATCTCCAAATTAAATTCTCCGTCGGGAGTGTCGCGGATTTTAATATCGCGAAACTTTAAAATATTATATGAGAGTTGTAAATATGAGTAAGAAATATGTTCCATGAAATTCATTACAATAATGTTTATACTTTGTACTTTTTCTAGCTATGTTTAACCTTTAAATCTTTTATATATTCTTTACACGACATTAACTCCTTATTTAGTTGTCCTCATTGGTTGTATCGCCACTGTAAATTATCTATGAATCTATGAGGTTAACAACTTCTGCTTAACTGATGTACTTTGTGGCTTGTCAACTAGTAAATAGATTTGCTTGTAAACCAGTCAACAGCTCTTTGTTAGACTGATTACTCTTTCGGCAGGTCAATCTAATACTGTAAATCATATACTTTGTTTATGCATATTGCTTGTTACATAAAGAGGTTATCCTTGTTGAAGGGGCATTGTGTGTTTTTTATGAAGAACCAGGAGAGTTCAATTTCAGTTGTTCTCTATCAAGTTATTGTACTATTGCTTTTGTTAATAAATGAATTATTGAGGTCAACTAAATAAGGAGTTAATGTCGTGTAAAGAATATATAAAAGATTTAAAGGTTAAACATAGCTAGAAAAAGTACAAAGTATAAACATTATTGTAATGAATTTCATGGAACATATTTCTTACTCATATTTACAACTCTCATATAATATTTTAAAGTTTCGCGATATTAAAATCCGCGACACTCCCGACGGAGAATTTAATTTGGAGATTTCGGATGGGAGGACTTGAGTCATTCTTCGTTTTTTGTTGTAGTTTGTTTTTATCTTGTAGCATTTCTAGTTCGTTGAGCTAATGGGTTCCTCTCGTTTATCAGTTTCATATATTCTATCTTTCAATATTGTTGATTGGTCCTTCGTATCTTCTTTCTGTTGAATTTCCAATGGATATAACATATTTATAGGTCGATTCTTAATCTTCCTCGTGGTAACTCTATTAGAACATTTCTTATCTTATTATCCTGTGCCTTATTGAGTTTCTTCATTTTTGCTAATTTCCAGGTACCACTAGGAACGTTTGATTCGTTTACTATTACAATTTCTCCTTCAACAGGGGCTTTAATCTCGGCGCCTTTCGAAGATTTATGTTCTATTTGTGACGTTCTCTCAAACTGGTTAAGTATTCCTCCTTCCATATTTTCCAGAATGTATCCAGAATTTCTAATGTTCTTGTCCAATATCTGATAAGTTTCTCGTGAATATTTATGTGAAGTATAATCATCTTGATCATCGGTATTATTAATAGGCATCATTAGATATACGTCCGGTATAATAAAATCAGTAGGTCTCAGGATTGTTGAATCGTTGAAGTTTACGTAGGTTAATGGACGAGTATTAAGTATGCTTTCAACTTCCACTATTAAGGTTATAAACTCCTTCTCTTTTAGCAATTTCCTACTTATGATCTTTCTTAATGTTCCTTTCGTTTATAAATTAACGTATACTCAAACCATCTTTATTCTGTTACTATTCTGGATTTAAAACTTTAAATCTTTTACCAGAGATTTCCACTGCTTCTAAGCTAGCCTTAAAATATTTACATTATCTTTTGGTAGATGTAGCCATCGAGTCAAATTTTTCTCCCGGCACTGTCTTCATTGGAAATTATTAAGCAATCGAATGGTTTAAAAACTTCAATTAAAATTTTCAAAACATATTTCAATTCAATTCTAATTTCACCTCTTCAATTCATATTTCGATTCTAATAAGTAATGAATCGATGGATTATTTCAAAATCATTCAAAGAAACAACTTTTTATATTTTCAATTTTGGCTATTTTTCCTTTTGGGAGAACATATTTTGAGACATTTTTCGAGATATTTCAAGGAATTAATACTATTCAAAGAAACATTATATCAATGCTAACATTTGAAACATACTAAAATTTTGTGCATTTTTAATTGTACAATTTTTTGAAATACCTTAAACGATCATATTGAATTCTGACTGAATTATAATTATCAATTAATTTGAGATTATTATCACTTCGTTTTAGTTTACTTTCTCATTAATATTAATTTTTTACGATTCATTTGAATAGTACCGCTAATAGAAAAGAATTTAAACTGTAAACAAATCATATTTTCTATTTACAACATATAAAAATATTTTGTGTAACTAAGATAATATAATTTAATTGTAAATTCAAAGAAATTTTTTTGAAAAAAAATATTTTTGAGATAGAAATATCTTTATTCTTTTCCAATCATTTCAATAATAAAAAAAAAAGTGTGTGAAATGTTATATCTGATTTTACATTTCATATGGTATACACACACACGTCAAAGCTCATCTCACGACATTTATTTCAAAGTTTTACAGTTGAATGAATAATTCAAATTTTGTAAATAACTTATTTCTGGGTAGATTTTTTTCAACGTGCACTTCTCACTCACTTTCATCAGTTTAGCGCATCTACTACTCCATCATTTTGCAACAATTTAATAATATTTAAAGGGCAGTATTTCAACTATTCATACCTGATAAGCGGAAATGTTCCTACGCATTTCCGCTGCGCCACTCTGTCCTGCATTTATTGCAAATGATTATTACATGATTAATGGATTGATTTTTATTTTTCAGTTTAGACTGCTGCTTGAATGAACGAAGCAGCATATTTTAATTTACTCAAAACTTCAAAGTAGTTTTATTTTGAAAATGAAATTTAAAATGGATATTTTAAAAGTTGAACTTTAATCAAGTTTATCATCATTATATCACTATCAATAAATTTGACAAACTTATAAATTAAACCATATTAGATTGGAATTGAAACCATTTAATAATCGAAATTGCATTCTGCCGTGGGAAAAAAAAATTCAAATAAGCTGAACGGAGTATCTATGAATCATTCCAGATGTTTTCTTGATATCAGTAATAGGAATGCATTATTTTATTCCATTTTTCCCTCTCTCTCTGTTTCTATCTCTCTCCCTCTCTCTCTAAAATCTATTATACAATATGCCAGTTTGTGACTAACCTTATATATCGAAGAGAAGAGAGTAACGTGTTTCAATTTACTGTTTAAAATTAGGTTAACCATAGCATTGACCTCGATAACATTTTCACTGATAATAATGTATTGTTGGCAGAGTTTGTCACCAACGGAACATCTTTTATCAAACAACTATAACCATTCCAATTGTCACATATTAACATTCTTTCTTTTCTCTTTCCACTTTTATAGATTCTTTGAAAAATTCATCTTAAAAAGGAATATTGTTGTTATTGTTGCAAGATTGCTCTTCACATTAACACAATTTCATGAAAAGTTATGAAAATTAGTTCTAAATGTTTAAGTTATTTTTAGCTTATAAACATAAATTTGAAAAGCTAGCACAAAGGAAGGAAAAGTCAAGTTTACAGCAAATATTACTTGAATAATAGAAAGATTGAAAAAAATGAATAATTAGGAATAATTTTAAAAATGAAAAAATAGTAGTGGAGATGAATAATTTCCGTTTATAATGAGCAAAATTCGAGACTGACCTATACAATCAGTATCGTTTACCACTAATCATCATATGATGAGGTCATTTCTAGGATTGTAACACAGCTACGAATGGAAGAAGATGATATTCTACCATGCAACTACAACAAGGTCATTTCCAGAGTCCTTCACCCTCCTTTTTCGATTTGCCTCGGCGCTTTATGACAACAATCACTAATGAATCGATCAGACTATTTCATGATCATACGGTGGAGCGAATGATTGAATCTATTCCTCAATTTTTACTTTCACTTAATATTCCATCCACCATTGAAAATCATCGAATTTATTTATTACTTAAATTAACTAAATTTTATCCTACTAGCATTAGTAGAATAGTCTTTTGTTCAACAGTTATCATTTACCAATTTAATTAATTAAGATTTAATAAATGGGATTTATAAAAAAAAAAAAAAAAATCGTAGAAATTAATTTTATTCATATTATATAAATGGAAAATTTACATATCTCCTTTTCATTTTGTTGAAATTTGAAAATATTCAGATAATTTATTAATAAATAATGAATATGTTTACAGCCATAATCTTATTTAAAATGATCTAAAGTACCATGCAGAAATATTGTTTAGAGATTTACTTTTTTGCAACAAACCATATTTATTGATAATTAACTTATTTACTGGTTTCATTTTTTCACTTAACATGAATTAAAATTTTTCTAATTGAGTTCGTTGACATGAATAGGCCAATTTTTTTTGCATCTATTTTTCATTGGTATAAATTTCATTTCATTTTTTTTAGGATGCATATCAAATTGACTTTATAATGAGAAAGTGAAAAAATATTTAAATTTAGGTTTTCAGTAGTTATTAATTTTCTTTCAATAATGAAAATGCTCCAATTATATTCCTATGGAATTTGCCGGAAATTTCTAGCTTTCTTATTTGAATGTCATTTTTTTCTTTTTTAAACGGAATTGGATCATTTAATCAATACGTACTATACTTGCGCTAAAGATAATCTATAATAAAATTATGCGTCAAAAAAAGCAGTGAAATTTCAGAAAATTTAGTAAATGTTATTTGAATAGCTTGAATTATTTATTGTAAAAAGACATTTCTGCTAAATTTGGAGACAAAGAGAAAGCGCAAAAGGTCGTCCTGAGCGGAAAAGAAAGAAGACAAAGAAAATGAGAAATAACAGTTGGCTTATTGTTGCTTTGCTAATAAGGCTGATTAAAGCATCACTTTCTTAATTAATTTATTGCATATTCAATCTCTCCAAAAATGGTCTTCTCAAATGTATATAATAAATAGAGCACAATGAAATATAATAGTTTGGCGATTAATAGAATCAAAGGTTTGTTCATCACAATTATATCGGAGCGATCAGTGATCGGTATTGTTTATTATTTCTCATGTGGAATTCAATTTATTTTACTTTACTATTCTTTCTCCTCTGCTATTGTCCTTGACCGCAATAGGAAAAGATTTGAGCAATAAGTTGAAGACAAAAATGAAATAAATGAATAGTTAAAAGCATGAAGGTGTAAAAGGTGGTGGTAGAAATTTAATCTTTCAGCTTTAGAAAATCTTTACACATTTCTTTCTTTCATAAATTACTAGTTGAATTTCAAAAACAAAAAGTTATATAAGTTTTTCTTTTTCTTTTTTTTTCTTTTTTTTAAGAAAGGAACGAAAATTATCAAATGGAGGAAGAATAAAGTGAAATGGTTCTATTACGAAAATATTCAGGTATAATTAATTGATGATCACCTGGGTAATAATTCTTTTTCTGTATAAAGTTCTAAATACAAAACCATCGGTTATTAGCTTTACAATCATATTGAATTACTAATCGAGTGAGCTTCTTTGCATGATTTGTTACACATGTAATTATTAACATACTTTTTAACAACAATAATTCATTGATAATTAATATTCCACTGTTTAATTAAATGTTGGATGTTGTAAAGTGAACAAGAGAGAGACAAAAGTAGTTACTTTAAACAATCGTTACAATCTGTTTTGATAGATTTTATTTATTTGTCCTTTCTCAGTAATAATCGACTATTTTCTCAAATTAATAAAATATACACTAATGTAATTATCAGTGGCGCAAAAGACTCAAAAAACAGAGAAAAAATGATAAATGTAATTTATTTACGTCACAGAATGATATACAAAAGTGAAATGATAAAAAATTGTTAGTTGTGGGAAGTTATCATAGAGATTATCATGAAATTGTGAAAAGTTATCATAGAGGTTATTATGAAATTGTGAGAAGTTATCATAGAGATTATCATGAAGACAGAAGTATTTTTTTTACAGGAAAGAAGAAGTTTTATTTGAGTGAGATATGCCGGGGAGAAGTGTGGATGAAGTATAACAAGTTTACATTTTTGTTGTTTTTGTTAACAAATCCCTCAGCTAATTTCTTAAAATCGTGAAAAACTTTGGCAAGATTTGAAGCACTTTAATTTAATTTAGGAATTGATCTCGACATAATTGAAAGTCGAGAATATACTAGAATGAATTGTTCAAAGAGAAAAAAAGAACTCCGATGCCTATTTATATGAAAATAACACATATGTTTAGAAAAATTATAAATTAGTTTAATAATTAATGAAAATGATAAAATCTATAATGAATTCAGTACACCTGAAGCACTATAACAGCCATATGTATTCACCTTTTCCTCAAATAAGACCTAAGTGACTTTGAATCACGTATTTTGATACTGAATCGATCAATATAACAAGTATTTATTATTATTAATACTTTTATTATTACGTTATTATTATTATTATTAATTATTACTATTTCATTATTCAAACAACAAAGTCAAAGAATGCTTCTGGCACAGTTTTAAAATGTTATTCATTTCGAAAAAATTTTCTTTATCTCGTTTATTGGATTGTATATTATACAAAATTTAAATGTCGTAGAAATGTTAGGTTATTTCAACTCGATAAGAAGAAGTGAGAATTTGTTCTTAAATTTTTTGATGACATTTTGATAAAATATGCAAAATTTTCATTTATTGTCTTTTGCTCCTTTATTTGAAGTTCATTTTTAAGCTATACGGCAATTATAGGACTGATTTAGTGTTAGATCTTGATGAGACATGCAGTAAATGTTTTCAAGATTAAACTTGAAATTTGGTTGATTTATTTGAATTAGCTCTAACTTACAGAAAAATTGAGGCAATTAGGTTTTTTGACTGTTATAATAGCGGTACCATTTCCATGGTTACCAGTGGTACCTCATATCATATTATGCTGACAAAATCTACCTGAATTGATCTATTCCCTTACAAACAAACCATTGATGCATTGAACTGTCTCTTATTACGTTTAACAAAAATTAATTTATCCACTCAATAATCTGTAAAATGTTCAATGATGTGAACATAATCTATTATTAATTTATTTAGTGCATAAGAAGGATGTGAGAGGGTAAAAAGAGGAAAAAGAAACATTATGCATGCATGCATGCATGCAATTTAAATACTACATCAGTAGTACTCTTTGCGCCTGCAATCCAAATAGTACATCAATAGTACTCTTTGCGCCTCTTCTTCACACTGTCGCACTTAACTGATACATATTGATAAAAAATGTCTTTTGCAAATGACAATCAAATCCAGTCGCTTGCTTAAATATTTGTTATAGAATTAGTCACAGTCTTTCATTTCTCAATTTTTAATTTATATTTGATCAAATTTGATGCAATAAATAATACATTACATTAACTCTTAACATGCAAGTGCATGTGCACATGCATTTGCATGCAGATAAAACTAGTCCTATATGTTAAGATTATAGAATGAATTAAGGTTGTAGAATGCTTTTGGAATTGAAATATCCGAACTAATTTTTAGAATTCATATTTTGGAAAATAATTTCATTCATTTGAAAGCATTATGCATGCATGATGAATGTGTCAGTTTGTGTGCATGCATACATGCATGTGTGTGTGTGTGCGTGTATGTCAATGCTAATATAGTAAACTATGTATGTTTATTCCCATTTACTGGTTCTAAAATCAATTTTTACTATTTGCTTGTGATAGACTTTATAGTATGAATGAATGAATGTTCAGAGAGAGAAATGAGTGACTAACTAAATTGACTGATTACTAAAAAGATTTTTGAACAAATATTTCATTCACTCTTTGCTCCCTTATTTTCTTCCAATGGAAAATTTTGAGGATAAATTGTTCCCTTCTTCCTATATTGTAAAAATAAAAATAATAATAATATTAATAGTAATTGCATACAGAATGAAAAATATTATTAATAATAATATTATTATTATTATTATTATTATTATTATTATTATTATTATTATTATTACTATTAATAATACATTCAATTCATTTATTCCATTTACTCATTGTTAGAAAGTTATTGTTTTGAAAATTATATTAAAATGAAATAATTTCAATATTATTTTATCAGAGTAATTGCATACAGAATAAAAGATGAGAAATAGAAAATGAGTGTTAAATTAGCAAAAATTAAATAAAATAAATCGATTAGCAGATTTCATATATCGTTGTATAAAAAAAGCTGCGCAATTTTGTTTACTATTGCATGCATAAGTATTTCATTTTTTATTTGCAGAAAATTGTTTATGTACTACTGTTTGCATTTTCGTTAAAAAATAAGATTTAGATAGAATTTAACAACTTTTACACTAAATTCGATAAATGAAAAAGCGGAATATTAGCCTTTGACATTTATCTAAATCTTATTTTTTTCTCTTTTACTTCGTTTTTAATTAAAGATATAACTTAATTAGCATTTGAACTTATTTAATTCGAATACTTCATTAGTTTGCAAATTAGCTTAGCAATTGTGCAAATATTTTCATAAAAAAAAAAAAAAAAAAATCGAATTTTACATTTTTCATTAATTTTGTTGATTCAAAAAATCAAAGTTTAATTAATATGAGCGATTGCTTAACAATTTTTTTACTTCCGACAACTTATTTACTCTAACTCTAATATTGTATAATGGTTGGCTTTTTTAAGTGCTAACCTTATCAATTATATCTTTTTGTTTTACACTAATTCGATTACTGAAATTAAAAGAAAAGAAAAGAAATTAGAGCCTTATCAAATGAAATTTTTTATCAAAAAGATAAGTATAAATATGAAAGAGCAATTTTTTTCAATTTTTTTACTCTAAAACAATATCTTTTATAATTATTAAAAAAATTTCAGGCTGTGAAAAATTCAAATACATTTAGCAGTAGCAATATTTTAGTTCAATTCCATTTTATTCGTTCAATTTCAAACTTTCTTCGACAATTTTCAAACGTGAAGTAAACATTTGCCGTCAAATATTCATCAAAAGAAAATGATTTCAAATGATGCAAATGTTTGTCTTCATTTAATTGATCTATTTTTATATACTTTTTAAAATTAATACAAAAAATAAAATAAAATTCGATAATATGTTTTATTGTTTTGCAAAATCGTCACTTAATTTATCTAAGTTCAAATTTTCTTTCAATTTCTATCCAAATATTTACTCAGAAAAAAAAAGAAAAACAATTAGCTACAATATGAAAATAAAGTTAATATACCACAAAAAAAAAATTTTTTTTTAATACTTCATTTATCATTAATATTGAAATCTTAAATCTTTTTCAGTTATTTGACAATCACAAATTAAGTAAACAAATCGAAGATGCTAAATGTAATGGCGATTCTACCATGAATGGTTATTTGAAAATTTTCCTAAACTATTCAATAATAATTATAATAAAAACTAACTATTCAATAATAAAAGTTTCAAATTATTCCATTTCATACTCAACAAATTTAATCCAATTTTATAATACATTATTAAAATTTAAAAAATTGAAAATATTTAGAAATTAGTTATGGTCCAGGCGTAGTTCAAAAATTGTGCGCTCGTTTTTTGCAATTATCAAAAGAGTCAAATGTAGTGCCACATTTGCGCTCACCACGCTTTAAACGACGAAAAGCATCATCAGCAGAGAATAATTTCACTGTAATTAGTGAAATTCGTCGTTGCACATCTTCAAAGATAACGTTAGTTCTCTCTCTCTCCCTCTCTCTCTCTCTGTTCGAAATTTTCAAATTTATTAAATTTATTTTATTTCCCAAATTTTATTGATATGAATAAAATTTTGAAATCATTAACATTACATTGTTTAATAATTTTTAATTACAGAAATAAAATTGATCTTAATGCTGAAACAAATGATATGAAGAACCATTGTGATGAACAAAACTATAAAATAAATTTTGTACCAGCATCAATGAAGGTATACTTCTTAAAATAATATTAGAAATATTACCAAAACAAAACTTTGTAATTAATTATTCACCTCTAACTTTTATTTATTCATTCATTATTTGTATTTGCTTTAAATTTTTGTTTCAATGATACAAATTACTACAAAAACTACAAAAATTATTGCTATCACTGCATATAACAATTAGAAATTTCAATGTTTACCTTACGAAGAAAAAAAAATAAACAATAAAGCAAAGAAATCAATAATTAAATTATAAATTTGAAAGAATTCACACCATTCTGTTGTTTTATAATTTTTTTTTTTCAAATAATATTTATTACAGGTAGTTGACAGGGTAGAATTAAATGGTACATATTTATATCATGCTACTGTAATTCCCTCTGATACTAAAGCAAATCGTAAAGCAAAAAAAATTGAATCAATAAGAGAAAAGTTTGAAAAAATCTCCGCAACCTCATCAACTCTTCCATCTAAGAAGGTTTATTATATATTACTATTCTATGAATAATTATTATTATTACTATTACAACTGAGGAAGAATTTTTCCTTTTTTTGATCTTTCAATTAAAACTTTTTTATTTTTATAGGTTAATAAAGTTCGATTTCGACGAGACTGTAATAATATACCTATTGCGAATGCTAAGAAATCTGAATCTGTAGAAATGAAGGGACAAATTGAAAAAGTTCAACATGATGGTATCACCATAAAGTTTTTTTCTTTTTTTTTTATCGGTATGTAACAATTGAAGAAAAGCAAATATTTAAATTAATAAATCAGATAGTAAATGGAACTTAAAGTTTTTTTTTTTTTTTTTTTAAATCGAATTATAGCTTTTTTAGAAATCATTGAGATGAAATGAAACAAATGACATATGCAACAATCGATTTTAGGAAATATAGTAAAAACGGTAGTGAAATTGGCACCATCTGATGATGATAATCTAACGATTACAGAGCTTCCCACAATATCAACCATATCATACTTACCCAATTTCCAGGTAATTTTAGCTTAGGGCAACAAAAAAAAAAAGAAAAAAAAAATCACTAAATAATATACTATGAATTATACAGTAAAGTTAATAAATTACAAAAGTATTACTTATAAAACATTAAAGGGAAATAAATTATGTATGATAAATTATTCAATCGAAGCTAACCATTCGTTTTATCAACAATATAATTATTTATTCAATGATTAATTAATCACTGTGTCATTATCATTTCTTTTTTTTTTTTTTTTTTTCACTCCCTTTTCTTTCATATTCCCACAAAAATAAATAGCATAGTAATCTTATCTGTAAATCATAAAATGTTTATGCGCAAAATTACAGCAGGAAGAGGTAAACGATCAGATAAAAAAGTCTGAGAAAGAATCTGATGAATCAAACATAGATGGATCATTTGAATTTGAAGATATCAAAGCTACTTCCATCATTAGCAATAATACTTCAGGTAATTTATAAAAAATTTATATCTATGCTTATCAATATTTGTTGATATTTTTCTAATTTTAATTATTCGATAAAAAATTTTTCTATAAATTACATTGTATTACAAAAATTTTCGTATAAAATAGAAGTGCATTTTTTCATTATTACTAATTGTAAAGTTATTTTTAATTCGAAAGGATTTTATTTAAATACAACAACTGATTAATTTTTTCTTTTTTTTTTTTTTTTTTTATTGCAATTAAAACAAAAATGATAATTACTTTCATTACACTTATATTAATATAACTAAAATTTATTGTATTTAAATACTAATATGTCACAGTCACGTGTGACTGTTATTTAACTTTAATATTCATTTATTTGTGTATTGAAAAGCTTTCAATATTATGGCTTTTTTGATTTTCGATTTGGATTATCTGAAAAGCTAATAATGCAATGGTTATCAAAAATTTATACATTTTCACTTTTTCATTTTTAGCTTATTTCCATTTTTACATTTTAACAAATTTTGCCATCATACATGATTTACAAAATTCTTTAAACAAATTAGTAAAATATTATTTCTAATCGATAGAGAGAAATTATATTAAATAAACTGTTTCCTTAAGAACTGAGTTTTATCATATACAATTTCAATCTGAAACTTATTAGATTACAAATTTGTTAAATCTCAATGATAATTTTATACTTAGTAAAATAAGAAGATGGAAAAGTTTTCTCAAAAACTAATAAACAATGCTAATAAATGATTTAATAAACAATTTCATAATGTTTTACAAAAGTAAATGAGAAAAATTTATTGCAAATAATTTAATTAATTTAATTTTGCAGTTAAAATGGCTGATAGAAAGCAGAACGAAGAAGATGGTTTAAAAGAAATTCATCGTTTACTAAAAAAATTTAGCACAATTCGAGAACAACGAGCCAAAAAAAGCTTACAGAATGATTTAATCGCTAAAACTAACAATAAATTTGATACGAAAGATCACAATCAATTGACACAATTACAGGTATAGAAAGAATTCAAAAATTTGACATTTATATCATTTTATTCAATTTTTTATCTTAGAATTAAATTTGTATAGTAAATATAGTTTAAATTTCTTCTTATCTCTTAATGCTTAAAATCGAATTAGGAATGCAACTACCAAATTACTTTAAAAATATGAAAGTATTTAGAATGTTTTAGTAAAGTTAACTTTTTTTTTGTTTTCCTTTCTTTCTTTCTCTTCTTCATGTTTACAAGTTTTACTATCGAATTTCAATTCTTCATTCTCATATAACTTTTAATTTTAATTCTAACTTACATTTATTGCATAAAGAAAAGAAAGAATTTTTAAAGGATGTCAATCAAAGCAATGAAATGAATGCATTAAACTCAATGAAATTTAACTTTCAATCTTTTTCTCAAGACAATCATTCAGGTAATTCTTGTTTCAAATAATTTATTGCTTATCTTATCATTGTTTTAAAAAAGAAATATGAATGAAATGAGTAAGTTATTCGTATGAAACTTGTATTTGATACAATCAAACCTATCTAAATTTTTAGGAAATGTTCTTTTAATTGTTCAAAAAAAAAAAAAACGAAAAAACGAAAAATTTTTAATGTGTAATCGAAAACAGGATCTTTTTTTTTTTTTTTTTTTTCAATAATATTATCTTATTTCCAAGTATTTCATGTTCTTTCAATTGTCATCAATACTCTCATCACTAATCAAAACTTCATTTTACTAATTTTTTTCTTCTTCATAAGAAATGAAAAATAGTTCCAATCCTAAAATTTAAATGTGACAAATAGAGAAATAATTTTTTGACAACTAACCATCCCATTTCATTTTTATTTTGATTATTTTTCTAGTAAAAACTAACCAAATAGGTTTACTTATATGTTCAAATGAGTGGAAAGTGACATTCCAACTAAATTCAATTGCATCACTCATTCATACTGCAATCGTTGTCAATCGCAGCTGTTTAAACGTTCGATCAAATTCAATCAATTAGCAAGCAGCTTTTCATTTTAGGCATATAAACTTTAAAAGCTATTAGAATTGAATTTAAAGGAAAGCTATTAACTAACTCTAATTTCTAAACTTTGTTCATTCTCAATTTCACTTTACAAATGATATCCATTTTACTCTTCTCTCTTTTTTTATTTTTCAATTTTGAATAATATCAAATTGAAATTTTGCTGAAATAATGAATTGAAGAAAATAATCAATTTTGATATCTGTTCAAAAGTAATTCATATGATGAAAGATTCTAGATTGAATTTCATTTTCCATTTTAGTTTTTTTTTTTTTTTTTTTTTCTTTTTTTCATCCATGCAAGTATTAAATTTATTTATCAATTATTATAAAAAAAAAAAAAAGTGCTAGAATTTAGGGATAAATATAACTTACTTATTTATCATTCATCAAAGATAGTATTTGAAGTAAGTTTGATAATATTAGTGAAATTCAAAAGTTACATTCAACTGTTTTTTGAATGAATGGTGAATAAGATTTGAGCAAATGACTGGTTTTTAAGTTTCATTTCTTTCCATATTACTAAATGCTTAAAGTTCATAAAAAAAGTTGTTGTGCAGAAGTGCAAGTGATACAAGTGATAGTCAAAGGTCATATTAGTAAAAAGGACAGGTAGAGAAATGATAGGGATGATAAGGATTAGTTCATAATCTGTAAAAAGATATCTACTAGGAGAAATAAGGCAATCTAACTGCATCATATCAACTTAAGATGACGATACTAAGTTAATCATTTAAATCGTCAGTGCCATTTCACATCGCTAAGGTAATTATTTGTACCTTAGAATGATGAGTGAATCATTTAGTCAAATAAGCTTATCACTAAGCTTATCAAATATAAGTTATCAATTAAGCTTATTTACTTTGTGATTATTGGAAAAATTACCTGTTTTTTTTTTCTTTTTTTTGTCTCAACATCAATTAACTCTCTTACATTTTGTATTCTTTTTTGTTAAATTAATCTCTAAACTTTTTGAAATCATTTCAAATTCTTCAATCTTTCCAAAATTTGTTATTTTACTGTTACAGTAATTCTTGTTTTTTTTTTTCTTTTCTGATTAGAGAATGAGATATAACTCTAATATCATTCTCGATTAATAGATAATTGATGAGAAAAGTGATTAAATAATTAAGAAGTAAATTATCATCAATCTTATGAAGATACTATGATTGATTTTATCAAATAACTAGTAAGTGATAAATGATAAATGTTAGGAAAAGAGAAGAAAGCGAATGAATGGTACTACAGTGATATCTTATCGCATATATTTAAGTGAGAAAAAAAAAACTAAATTTATGATACGATGCAACTGATTATGAGACATTAAATTCGGTTACTGTATTGATTGGTACCTTAGTTTTCTCTTTTTTATCAATGAATCATAAAATTTGTTTTTATGATACTCCCACACATATATTATATATTGTTGCTTCTATTATAACAAAGAAATTTTTGAAGTGAAAATGAAATGATAAAATGGATGGAATTATTTTCGAAATTGCAAATTTAAAATAGTTTCAAAAAAAAAAAAAAACACTTGCAATTAATAAAACAGAAAATGATAAATAATTAATTGTAAAGTAAGCAGTGATAAGTTTATTTGTCTGAGTGATAAGCTTATTTAACACTGAATGCTATAGGCTTGTTTTGATTAAATAATTTTGTTTTCTTTTTTAAAAATGCAATATATTTAGCTATTTTATATCAATTTCTACCACAATTCATTCATTATTATTTCAAATAAGCTTAAATACTTAGCTAGCTATTCGGATATTTTATTTAATTTATCGTTAGGATTACAAAAAAAAGAAAAAAAAAAAAAAGAAAACAAAAATTCTGCTAACAACTTTTCGTGAACTTTATAGCATAAGTGTACTTTGATTTGTGTTTATTTGAATTTTGCTCAATTGATTCCAACAAATGCAAATATAAAAGTTATTTGTTGCTTCTGTTTGTGCACAATTTGTTTGCTAGAATGCTTTCATGCTTATCACATTTCACATTTTCGCATAGCTTTTCTTCATTTAAGCATAAAAATATAATTTTATAATTCCATAAAAAAACTAAAAAAAAATTTTTTTTTTTTTTTCATAAAAATGCAATAATCTTATAAAATAATTTCTTTTTTTTTTCAATATACATATACGGTATTTATAAAAAAAAAAAAAAAAAAAAAAAAACCGTAATATATAATGAAAAAAAAAAAAAGGAAAATCTATAAATGATTTGTATCAAATTATCATAAAAGATATTATCTGTTATTTATGATCTATTTCCCTTACAGTATAAATTTTTCTATCATTTTTTAGTATGTTTTTTTTTAATTTCAAATTGAAAATAAAATTATAAATTTTAATTATAAAAAAAAAAATCTATGCATATATTAATTACATATCAAATTATCATAACAGATATTATCTGTTATTTATGATATATTTCTTTTACAGTGTAAATATTCCTATCATTTTTTAGTATGTTTCTTTTTTTTTTTTAAAGTTAAAATTTAAAATAAAATTATAAAATTTGAAATGTTTAACTAAGATATTCCATTGAATAGATGAAATATGATGAAAATATTATTAGTTAGTAAATAAATTATAATTGTTAATGAAACGATAATTCGTTATTTGGTTGTGTATTAATCGTTATTCCATCTCTTTCAGTTCAGTAACATTTTTGCATATATTAATTACATTTCTCTGTAATATTACTACGATGACTCACTCATTCACTCATTCATTCATTCATTCATTCATTCATTCACTCATCCATTCTTGCAATCAATTTATTCACCTGTCCCATTTCATTATGACCTAATTCAGTTTCATTTCTCTCATACGTATGTATCAATTTAGTAAGCGAAAATGACTCTCGCTAATGATACTTCATTAACTTACTTAAATTTTCATTTAAATTAAAATTTAACTAAAATTTATATTTAATAATAGATATAAATTAAGTAAATTTTTTAATTATATATTTATAATAAAAACTTTTGTTTAGCTGTTTTTTTTTTCTTTTTCTTTCAGCTTATTTTCATATTTAATTAATTTTTTATGCTTTAGCTATAGTTTGATTTTCTATATATATATATATATATATTTTTTTTTTTTTTAAAAATATGAATCAAGCATTTGCATATTTGTTTTAAATTCATAGAGATAATAATCAGAATTTAATTATAATTTTCAATATCATTTATATATGATATGCTCAGTTATGAGCATTTTTTATTAATCGATTCATATATGAGAAAAACGGAACACATTTTAATCTTATAATTTGCCTTTTTTTTTTTTTTTTTTTTGTATAAAAACTATTTCAAAAATATTTTTCATCTATTATAATGGTTGAATTTTTTGTTCATTTCACTTTCTTTTTAACAAATTTTTTGAAATATTTTTTGAGCAAAATTTTTGAATGTAAAATTTGAATGAAATTTCAATGGAAATAAATTGCGGAACAACTTTTTATGCTTTCTAAAATGAATTAACTCATTGCTAAAGTTAAAGTATTTCTAAACTGGTTTCATCTTCCGTTACAAATATCTAAATGTAGTTTTATAGATGTGATTTTCCTATTAAACTTAATAAAATTCAATTCAATAAAGAGGCAATGTTATGCAAATTTAGAAATCTCGATTGACCTTTGACTTACAGCTATTTTAAATTGATGTGTGTTAAATTGAGATTATTATGATGTGAAAGAATGAAATTCCAAATGTGCAAACATGCACACTTATTTACTGTCATATAAATATCAATTGTTAGAAAATTTTTTTCATCTCATTCTTTTTCAACTTGTTAGCATTGAAAAATTTTTCTTTCAAAAAATTTCACGAAATTTCAATCTTTTTTTTTTTTTTTTTCATCTAAATAGCTAATTCTTTTAAGATTGGATGGCATTTTTTTTATTATTTACTATAAATTCTTTTTTTTTTCATTCGAGAAAAAGTAATCTGAGGAAGTTAATAAAGTAAGAGAACTGTTAAATGCGAAGAAATGGGAAATTTAAGTAAGTAAAAGTAAATTTGTATAACACTATTCATAATGTGATCTTCTAGACTAAACTAGACTAGGCTAGATTAGACTAAACTAGACTGGGCTAGATTAGACTAGGCTAGCTTATGCTGATCATAAATTTCAGGTAAATATATAACTTGAAATATGAATTCTATTGTTGTTTAATTGAATTGTAAACATTATATTCATTCAATGAAAAAACAAAAAAAACAAATTATGATTGCTTTCATTTTTCATCAATTTATTTTATCAAAGAAAAAAAAAGGCCATTTTTAAAAGTTTATTTAAAAGAAATGCATTTTATCATTTACATATACTTAAAATCCTAATTGAATAAAAAATTTTGACACTTAAAATAAATATTTTGCATAAATTTTCTTAAATATTTTGATAACTTTTGATTTATATCTATCTTTTCAAAGATATATCACAGAATAATTGAAGAGAAAATGTACAAATGTACGACCTTGAAAAGAATAAGATCATATCAATTATAAATGTTACAAACTTCAGTCAACAACAATGTATATATTCAAACTAACTAATCAAATAAACATTAGCATTAGAAATTGATAAAAGATAGCATTGATATTTAATCATTATGAGAAGAGCAGTGATTATATCAGTGATAATAATTTTAATGCAATTTTAGTATTCCCGTTAGTTTATTGTTTATTTGAAATTATTGCATTCTTTCATGACGAAAATATCATCTATGTTAGAAAATTTCCATCCAAATATAGGTCAAGGTTAATTTTTTTTTTTCTTTCAGTTTTTTAAAAAGAAAAAACGTTCAAAAATTATTTTAATTCAGCGACAAGAAAAAAAAAAAGAGTTCAATTTCAAATTGTAATGATTAATTTATGGTCAAAAAAAAGTTTATGTTTTATTGCGTAATTAATTTACAGAATTAATTTCTCTAACAACCATTTTATTGATAATGATATTTTCATTTAAAAGTACAATTTTTTAACTTATTCTTCTTTCTTTTTTTTCACTTAAATTTTTGCAAATTTTGACTTCTTTTTTTTTTTTTTTTTTTGGAATGCTTAAGTAAAGTAATGCAACAGAATTATACAGAGATTTTTTTTTGCATTTAAATTTAAAGCTGAACGATCTTTTTGAAATATTTTAAATTCTTGTTTAAATATTACTCAATTCTTTTTAGTTTTATTTGATGAACTGTATTAACATCAATGTCACATCAGTAAAAAGGATTTTGTGTTATCTAAAAGAAACATCACAACTTCTTAAATCTTTTTGATATTTCAATGTATAAAACTAGTTGCTTTAGTACTAAAATAACATAATGAACAAACAAACATTACAATTAAATACTGATTTAAAAAAAAAAAGAAAAAAAAAAAACTTTTCTTTAAATTCCACTAATTTCAATCTAATTAAAAAATTTTTTTTTCTTTGTTAAATGTTTGATAGAGTGTTTGTCACATGTGATTTTGTTTAAAAATTAAATTCATATGTCTCTGTAACATTGCTTATTTGTTTAAAGTTATGTTTACTATTTAAAGTGTAAAAATTTTCTTTGAAATTTACGGAACAATATTGTAACATTTTTGATTAATCCAATATTTATCGGAATTTCGACAAACTTATAACTTGTACAATCTCTTTTAATCGTTTTCCTACATTCACTCTTATTCAATCAAGAAGTGCTTGATGTCATCATCATCATCATCGATATGTTCCGGTTATCGTTACCAAAATCAGAAGCCATTCTTGATGTTTCAAAAACCGCTTCAATTCACCTGGTTTAGCACAGCACTCAAAAATATAAGTATGTTCTAATTAATCCTTTCTACTCTTCCTTTCGCCTATTATTATTATTATTATTATCATTATTATTTATATGAAACAATAACTGAATTTGCTGGAAAAAAAATCACCGGAAAATACCGGAAAAAATTTTTTTTTTTTTTGAAAATTATTTAAGAATAAAATTACAAATTTTTGAAATTATACACTTCGCTTACACAACTCTTTTTTGATCCATTTTAAATTCAACTACACTCCAATGTAACTTAATATTTCATCGATCATTTTCTCTGCTGCACAAATTTGAAAAGTATTAACATTTTTGAAAGTGTCTAAAAGTTAATAACTTGAAAATGAGAAGAAATAATAATACTTAATTCATATTTGCTACATAAGAATAAGTAAGCAAACAACATTATATGAGTATTTTTGATGAATTTTTATTTGGAAATAAATTATGATTAAGATTTCAAATAAAATGTCTGGTAAAAACTCTCTCTCTCTCTTTGATATGTTGAAATATTCATAGTATTAATTCATAATTATATTTGGAATTATTGGAAGTTTAATTTTTCTTATTTTTTAATTCTAATTCTACCAGTGAACATTTATTTCAGTTCCATCAAAGTCTTTTTTTTTTTCATGAATGAAATTGTAAAATTCAACAAGAAATAATCTATTTTTACTTTTTTTTTTTTTACTCATTACTCATTTCTATCTTTTTTCTAATCATCCAAATTTAATTCCGAATCTTTTCTGCATTTCTTCGAAAAATTTACTTTCATTCACATTTCGCACAATTTAAGGTGAAAGTCTCTTTTTTTTTTTTTTTTTTCTACCGTACAGAGTTTCCATTTTCAACAAACAGAAATGATAAAATTTATGAGGAAAATTAGAAAGGACTTTTTGAGATATCTGAAAATTAATAACAAATAGAAAATGACATTACCACTTTTTACACTCATATTTTTGATTTATTTCAGAAGAAACGAACGATGATGGCTCTAAAGATGAAAAAGAAATGGAAGTAAATCGTACGGTAGCTACCGTATCATCATCATCATCCACTGATAATAGTAAATGTCCTGGTTCTGTAATGGAATTAAAATTAAATAATGAACAATCAGAATTAGTCAGAAATGGAAATGAATTGAAATTGAATGAGAGAGATTTACTCACTGATCAAAATGTTAGCTTAATGAGCAAAAGCTGTAACAATAAGGCAAATTTGGAAATTCATCGAAAAAGTTTAACTGCAATGTACTTGGAAAAGCAAAATTTGGAAAAGGAAGCAGATATGATGGATGAGTCACAAGAAGGATCATGGAAGAATGAATTTTCAAATGTTAGAAATACTAAGGTTAGACAGATGAGTCATTTAAAATTTTCACTGCTTGTTTCTAAGTCTATATGAGAAGTAAAATTTTACATACTGTTATTGTAAATCTACAATCATTCCTAAATTTTCTAGCAATAGTTGAAAGATGACAAATTATTGAGATTGTGTAAGACAAATCTAATCTTGCTTTTGAAATTTTAATTTTTTTGTTTAATTCTACTATTTTCAAATGTTAAAAGCACTTTAGGACGAAGGACCAGTACGACAGTCATTGCTTAGTTTAGTTATGGACGAAGATGTTCCAGAATTAATGGAAGCAATGGCTGAAAAGGTTTCATTTTATGTGATATCATTTAACTAATCAGCAAAAATTTTAGTTCATCAAAATCAAATTTAATTTTTCAGTTAGAATTCGTATTTGAAGATCTCACGCCATCTGTATCCACTGCTAGCGAAGGAATATTGCGCAATTCAGCGAAACGTACACGTTCACGTTCACGTCCAAGGGTTAATAATTGTAGTTTTTTATAAATTATTAGCATTATAAATGTAAAATGATGAATATGATAAATTTTAAACATAGTTTTAATAATTTCAATTTCAATTCATAATGAAGCATAATTAAAAATTTTGATGATAAAATTTAGTAATGATTTGCGAGAATTTAAAATGAATAAAAAATATAAGTTAAATTTATAGGAAGCAAAGCTAGGATTTCATTCTTCGTCACCAACAGTTTTCACATATCCAAATGAAGAATCAGCTGTTGAAAAAGCACAATGGGATGAAGGAGAACAGATCACTTTTACTGTTTATCGAGAACTCTGCCAAGGGTTCTCATTTAATTTGTTGACAGAGAGATAATTAGATCGGCAAATCTTTCTTTGATCTTTTTATTTTAATTCTCATTCATTCATTTATTCCAGAAAAAAAGAACACTCAATGGAGGAAACTAACAAATTTCATCAAAGTTTTGTAAAGCCATCACAAATAACTGCAAGTAATACAGAATTATCATTTATAAGAAGTAAGTTCCACATTTTTTTCAGCAAAATTCCTATTAAATTGTTAAAGATTGATATTCTGTTCAGTTAATTTATGCTATAGAAAGTAAATATATGTAAAAGGAAAATACCGCTTTTTGGTTTCCTATAAAAACTAAAACAAACAAAGATTAAAAGGAAATCAAAAAGAATGATCAAACTTAGTTCATCCCATTTGATTACTTTATATTTTAACTTCTAAGCTAACATTTCATATCATTTTTTTATTATTAAAAATAAATATAACTTGACTTTCAACCAAAAATAAATATAAGTTGATTTTCAACTGTAATTCAAAAAATTTTCCAGCAGCAACATTAATGGAGGAACCATCAATGGCGGAAAGTTTACTAGGTGTCACGGGTCGTATCTCATACAACAGTACTCCCATTGATTTAGCTCGATTTAATAAAAATACAGCAGTGTAAGTATTATTAGTTTCACATAGATGCAATAATTATTTTTTATAATAGATCAAAAGTTATTACTAAAATATGTTTCAGATCATTGATAGCCGGTAAATGAATTTACTATCACTAGGAAATACCGTCATCCAATCTTCTGTTTTTTGTAAATGATAATATCCCGGAATATCTCTGTGCTACATGTTTAAAAAAAAAAAAAAAAAAAAAAAAGCCATTATAAGAATTTATAATTTATTTTCACAATGCCAGTTATGATCATATAACATTGACTGTTATCAAGTACCTCTTCATGACTTATTACTTGTTTGATTATGTATAATTAGTTATGAATAAATATAGCCATTTTCCCAGTGATGCTCTCAAATATATGCCTAAAAAAGTTTAAAATGCTCAATATATAACTTTAGAAAAAATATAATTGCATGAACAGAAAGTAATTTGAATTTTATGAAATGCTTTGATAAAAAATTAAGTGCCGAAAATAATTTAGAAGTAAACAAGCAATGAATTCAATTATTTATTGCCGACGAAAGAAAAGTTCATTGGATTTAATAAATTACAACACTTTTTTTTTTTAAACTAAAGAACTGTTTAACAATTTATAAAAAATAGTATATAGCAATAAAGCTATGAATCATAGCATGAACAGTTTTAAATGGACTAGAAAAAACAAAAAAAAATTTTATTACTCCATCATTTCAATTAGTAAAAAGGTATAACATGAAATGAAAAAAACAAATTATTTTCGCAAGTGTTTGTCTAATTGATTGCTCCATTACTGGTAACATTTATAGACCAAGTAATCACTTAATACAGTTTTCTGGTTCGTTCTGTACTGAAATAAAAAAAAAAAAAAAAAAAAAAAAAAAAAACAAAGAGAGCTTTTTCGTATAAAGGATGACACCAAACATATAAAGACAATAGGCTATTTATAGGCTTCTTTTTCCTGAGATTCAATCAAACTGATTAAATTAGTTCACTAGCACTAATTTTAGTATGATTCAAATTCAGCACTGAACTAGAATTTGAAAATGTTTTAATAGTACGTTATTAGCGAGGGTACCAGTAGCGCAACAATACAGATATAATATCATTTATTATCGATAGTAATCAAATTTTAGCCTTTAGAAGCGATTAGCATTTTCAGCAATTATTTGAAGAAAAGTTACGAACTGAATTAGTTCCTGCGATTGATTTTCTCATATTCTTAGTAAAGAAAAGAAAAAAAAAAAAAAAAAACCAATTAAAAATTAACTTTGTTTTTATTTTAGTACCATCCATTAAAACACTAAAGCTACAATTACTTATTTGTAAAGTAGTCCCATTTTGTTCATCTCTCATACGAACCAAATTAGACTTGTTTTCAATAAATTTTTCCCAACTAAATTTAATAAATAATTGAACTTTAAAACAGAATCTTCCTTTGGAAAGCCAACTGAACTAACCTTTCCACCAGTTGTTGTCGAATCGAACTATTTATAAATCTACAATTTACCTGAAACAATGATTATTTTTAGTGCGTAAAAAACTAAGAAAGCATACAAAAAGCTTCGGTTATTACAAATTAATTCATTAGTTAATTTTAGAGAAAATTACCCGCAAAGCGTCTGCAATATCTGCAATACACAGTGGTGTCCTCATGGATAATGCAACATAAGAGTCAGTAAGGCTATCACTTTCGGTTCTGAAATAAACCTTTAATCCTTTTTTTATCAAAACTTTAGAACTGAAACATGATATCCCACATAAAAAAGAATGAAATTACCGTCTTTTACGAGCACCAAACATATGGCATATTCCAGTGCTATTCATCAGATGGCTTCTTTTCATTTTTAAACCTTCTTCCAATATATTTTTCAAAAGCGTCTGGAATAATAATACATTATTACAGGATAAACTAATGGCATGAGTACTTTCATAGTATGAAACTGTATCAGTAAAGATAGCAAGCTGTTACTAATAAACGATATACCTTCGATGCATCAAGTAATAAATCACAAAGATCGTCATTACACTTCTGCCATTTGAGTTCATTTTTTGAGATTATGAATGACAGTCGTTTTCTTATCTGAAACCACACTTACCGAAGAATCTGCGAGAACCGAAAAAAAGATTTATGATATTTTACTGTACTAACTTATGAAAATATGACTTAGGAACAAAACTTCAATATACAAATTCAAAAACTATCAGAATATTCAAGAAAAAATTCCCCGTAAAATTTTGTAGTAAAGATAACTACTAAGACGTAAGGCTTCTACAAAATAAGATAGTACCTAATTTATTCACTAATACAAAGAAAGAAAAAAAAAGTAGACAGATCCTGAATGACACTTATCAGAATACATTAAAATGAAGCAAATTTATCACATAAGAATAACGTAAATAAACCTTTTCTCTTGACCAATCCCATATTCGCTCATCTCTATCTGCTTCTGAAAGCATACTAGATCGTTGCTGAAAAAAATTAATCGAATCGATATACAAATATACTGGAAGAAAGAATTGATTTTTTTAGAATACAATGTGATGACAATTTAATCAAAACTACTCACCCCAAATTCATTGGCAAAATTTATAAAACTCTCATCGATTAAACGTCTTTTCTTATTCACCAATTTTCCACAGTCCATATTAAATTCACTTGCAATGATCCCTCCTGATCATCTTAAATAAACCACATGAAGAAAATGAAGAGAAATATTAAAGTAAAAGTAAACGAAAACGCACATTAATTGAAATGCGCTATTTTTTTTGGAAATTAAACAATAAAAAATTTTCAGAGATGAGCAATCAGAACTAATAAATGATTATTCGCATGAATGCTGTCACAGGTAATAATTGTATTGGTTAAATACAAGCATATATGGATCAAATTGATTCATTCACGATTATCATTAACTAGAAAGTTCTTAGATCAATCTAAGAGGTATGATATAATTTCATCTCATGTGCTACATCTCATCTTGTAGCAACTATCTTCAGATGAAAAAATGTCAAATTTCCACTTCTGAAGGAAAATTTCTATGAACGAAGACAGAACGTACAGTTTTTATTTAATAGGAAATGTAAATTATGCAATTATTGCAAATTGCGCTCACAGCCCAATACATTAATTCAAGAGTGAACTACAAATGATTGAATAGTGTAAAAAACGATCACACTGCTTGAGTGGACTACAAATGATTGAATAGTAAAAAAAAAAAAAAAAAAAAAAAAAAAAAAAAAAAAAAAAACGATTCACTAAATTACAAATTTCGAAGCTTGAATAATACTAAATTAAAAATATGACAGAAATAATACTAAATAAAAAATATGACAGAAATAGAACAAACAGTGCAAATACGAATCATATATGAAGTATACAAGGACTAAAATCGAAAATTATCGATGATTCCATAAAAATATATTGTTATATCTATCAATAGGACAAAGTAGACCAGAATGAAAGTTGCTAAATAAATTCAAAGCAGGATGACTACAAAGAATAAATTAAAGCGAGACTGTGCCGAACAATCATCGCTTAATAACAAGGCCATTGACTATACCATGACAAGAAGATAGAAAAAGAATAATTAAACTATGAATAAGAATCATATATGAAGTGTACAAGGACCATAACATAATGAAATAGGTCTAAAATGAGCCAAAAATAAATGAAGCATCCAAATGCAAAAGTTGCGGGAATTTAATATTGTAAAAACTATTCCATTCATTATTACTAAATTACAGATTTTGACTTAACAAGGTTTTAATGAATTCTACTGCACTAGTGAACTGAGTCCACCAATATGCTTCTATGCCTGATATTTGGTTTGCATAAAATGCGCCAATATACTGGATATTCGATAGAAGAGCCAGTGGATTTGCCTGAAAATAAACTTATGTAATAAATATCTCAGTTGAACTCGAAAGTTATGACAGTAATTTTCGTCTTCTTCATAGAATTCTCATTCAAGTTATTATGCAAAAGCTATTATTCACACATTTTCTTGAAAGTTCGAAGGTCAAAAATATTACGTTAAGCAAACATGTCTCCAGTTTCTTAATCAATTAACGAACAGACACTCTCCAACTCAGTCTTCCTCATAAAAAGAATTGGATGATAGAAGGCTATTATCCTTACTTCTATTCTTTAATTATGTCATCTTTGTTGATGTTGTTTTACTTTATTTTATTTTACAAGCTGCAACAATAAAGCTGAAAAAATCCTGCCTGAATAAGAACGTAAACAAGAACAGGAGTAATATCATCAGCCGAAGCTGCTCCTCTCTCAGATGCAAGAATAATGAGATTTTCGATTGTTTCACAGCATCTAACAATACAGGCCATTTTATCTCGTGGTGATTTGTATGCATTTATAATTCCAATTTCTGCTTGCGCAGATGGCCACGGACATTCACCACGTAATCTCTGAAAAATAAACATATACAGAGAATATTATGTTTTTTAGTATCAATTAAAAACATTTAAAAGCTCAAGACTGTAGAAAATTAAATTACAAATTCATACGCTACAAATGGAAGCAGTTTTTTTTTTTTTTTATTTTTTAAATAACGATTACCAGTACTCATGCATCCAAGACAAGATCCGAAAAAAAAAGAGAGGAAATATAAACAAATTTTACCACTGATATCCGCAACTGAGGATGGTCAGGATTAATTTCTGCTGCTAATTTTTGCACTGATTTGTGGAAAACACTGAAATACCAGTGAAAGTCAATCCAACATCAAAGTGAATTACTGTTAGATGAGCAAAGAAGTAGCATTAAGCTTAAAACATTGAAAAATCTAGCGTTGAGTTCTTTTTAATAATATCTGCAATATGAAATAACCATTTTAACAGAAAGAAACCTGTCTCTGCTTTGGTCGGCTTCACCATTTGGATAAAGTGCATACACATAGAGCTGGGCCATTAATGAACGTTCAACACTCTTTTTTACAAATGAGATTCTTTCTGCATTTGCAAAACGCCACATCTTCTCACGTGGTAAGCATTCATATAATGAATTTAAGGCACGCTCCATTATATCCGTCCTTTCATCCTATAGCAATTTGGAATTTTTTCCAATGAGCATTAAATACCAACAAAGATGTTTAACAGAAATAACAATGAGTTAATTATACATACCTGAGCTTTCAGAGTTTGAAATTCAGCAATAAACCTTCGTAACTGCAAGTCACGCTCTTCCAGATAAAATCGAACGAGCATATCCACTAAGCACTCACCAATCAGTAATTTCTCTCTGCAATCCAACAGAATGGCATCATTGTCCCTTTCCAATGCCTTAAATACCACCAGCATCGCTGTGGTGATTACTGCTAACTAAGATACCTCTCTAGGTTATTTATTTCAAAAGCATCCGCAGCACACTTTTGTTTTATACGTTCGTATTGTTGACAGGGTTAGCACACTCAAACCAGAACCAATTCTCCAGCAACAACTTGATTTAAGCTTACAACAAACAAGATTAAAGTCCTAATATAAATAATATACCTTTGAAGACGAATAGCTAATTTTTCTAGATTAGAGCGCAGCTGAAGTAGGCTGAGACGAGACTGCTGTAAATAAAGCATATATGCTGTCCGCTTTCGGTGCTCTCCCTTCAGGGCTCTTAAGAGTTTTCTAACTCTAAAAAAGAAAAAAAAAAAAGCTTTCCACAGAAAAATGAACATACTTTCTTCCATTCCAAATGAGAAAAAGACTGGTAGTAATGCCGGAATGAGGAAGAGCTGATATAATTTGAAGTGCTGCTATTCATTTTATATTTTTCGAATTTGTACTTTCAGGATATTGGAAGCTTTTTTTCAAAATAAGTGGAAAAGTGAGCATAAAAGTCATTCATTCAAATAAGTCAAATCAAAATTGAACAAAATTTTCAAATAAAACGTGTCTAACTTACGCTCTGTCATCGAATGCAACTAAGCAGCGCATAACTTCACGAATTTGTGCACAGAGAGTCTTGTCTTGGCCATTAATGCTTTCTGCCAACAAAATCTGCAGAAATTCTGTCAACTGCCGTGCATCAGTTTTTCCACTACAATAAGCAAATAGCATTAGGCAATCATTATAAACACTGTAAATTGTCAAATAAAACTTTAAATCATCACCTCATCCTCATTTTGGATCTGCGTAGAGCACTTTCACTCCCAACAGAAGATACACCAGGTAAAGAAGCTACTGAACTCAATACCAAACGTAATTTTCGTTTTACATCAACAAAAGCACGACACTGAGTAAGATTATCAGGATCGTAGTACAACTCAGAATCTTCAGATGTCTTTTCATTTTCCCCCTGAAGTTTTGAAAGTAAATGCAAACTTGAGTCATTGTTCAATTTTCTTATTCACCACACTATTCCTGAAGCGAAAAAAGCATAAAATCTTAAATTAAAAAGTACCTTTGCCGTTTGTTGACTATTTTCATCCAAAAATTGGTTATTACCCTCAGCTGAATACAAAAGCACTGCTTTTCCTTTATATTTATCTAGAATTTCATTTGCTGTTCGCTTGCTCAGATCTGCGGCAGTGTTCAGTTCATCAAGAGAATGACTTTCAGCAAATCGGCCAACTCCCGTGCCTAAAATCTACTCATGTATAAAATCTGATTAAAAACACATAAATTCCATCTGGCTTTATTTAATTTTCCGTTGAAAAAATCTGCACTACTAACATTGAAAACAGCTTACCAAAAGATGCCGCGGAAGAATCTCTTCCATTTGTGCCTTTCAAAGATGTAATTTCATTCATCGTTGTAGCTTGAGATAATGACTGACGAAGTGAACTAACCACAGCTCCTAAAATTTATAGTATGCTGCTATATTAAAGTATATTCAAAAAAAAAAAAAAAAAAAACTATATTAAAAAAACGACATACAGATACCCCAGCCACAAAGTTTTAATGAATTCTTTGTAGTATACAAGATTGCACGATTCTCAAAAAGCAACAGAAATATTTCTAATAACGTAATAATATCGCTCAAAATTGAGATTCTTTCTTCCATTAATAACCAAACAAGGAAACAACCTTTTCTCATCTTCAGTGACTCGCCCACTTTATGCAAACCATGAAGTATATTCATCTTCTTTCGCATCACTGGACTCTCATTTCTTTCAATATCATCATTTTGAGACCCTTCAACAAATGAGCTAAAGTAATAAATTCTACTGGAATATAATGGGATTGAAAACAGTACAAAGCATAAAACGATGTGGTAAAACAAATCCAACGAAGTTTCAGTTTAAAAATAGAAATCATTTGAAAGACTTACGCAAACGAGAAGTTACGGGAGGAGTACGATATGTTTTTGGCATAGCTCCACTATTAGCCCAATTTGCTCTTATAGCCTCTTCATCTGTTTTATCATCGTTGCTGCGTTCAGTCTTTCTCACCTAAAAAATAAATAATAAATGCAACGTCCCTATGATAAGTCGTAAAATTGTCCATACTTTGAATGAATTTTATCTATAATTTCAAAATGAAAGCAATAAATATTGCGAAATAATCTGAAACAAATCAGCTTCAGGAAAGCAATTTCAATTAAATTATAAAAGAATAAGCCAAGCTTGCTGGATGTATGAATGCTTACCCTTATATGTTCCTCATATTCATTACATTTTTCGGCTTTTTGTGT